CACCGAGCACCATAAATTACGATGTGCTCACCACCCGAAGGCAAGAAAACGCTGCAAATAGCGAGGATTCCGGACGTCGCAAAAACCAGGAATTGCGGACACACGGAATACCGACGGTACCGATGCGAAAGGCACTTCGAGTGTAGGAAACACTGTAAAAGCCGATACAAACGGCATGTCGGATTTGCGCGTTTACGTCATGTCGGAGCCGCCATCATCAACAACAACAAGGTACAAACAAAAACTGCAGCCCCGTCAACCCATATATCTGCTTTTTGTCTGTACATTAGGCAACAACAACAACAACCACAACAACAACAACAACAACAACAACAACAACAACAACAACAACAACAACAACAACAACAACAACAACAACAACAACAACAACAACAACAACAACAACAACAACAACAACAACAACAACAACAACAACAACAACAACAAAACAACAACAACAACAACAACAACAACAACAACAACAACAACAACAACAACAACAACAACAACAACAACAACAACAACAACAACAACAACAACAACAACAACAACAACAACAACAACAACAACAACAACAACAACAACAACAACAACAACAACAACAACAACAACAACAACAACAACAACAACAACAACAACAACAACAACAACAACAACAACAACAACAACAACAACAACAACAACAACAACTGTTGTCAAGTCAAATGTGTTGTCCTCAACATCAACGTTATCCTTATCCTCGTTCTGATGATCTCTAACTTTCGACGGTTGAGCCCAGTGTGCGTCTTTTTTCTCCTTTATTATAAGCAGATCGTATATTCGACAATCCGCCAAATCAGGTGCCAGCGGCGCATAGTGGGATGCTGGCGGCGCAATAAACGCGACATGCACGGCCGAGGCGGTGCAAGCCAGACAGAGGAGATGCGAGGCCCACATGGCTACAAACTTGCGAATCACACGAGCCTTCTCTTCGCAGCTTTCAAGCAGAGTGCTTTGAATGGCCTCGGCCCTTCAGCTGGGGCGCATCAGGCACTGCATGGCTGCAAAGGCCAAGCGAAAAGCTTGAGCCATAAAAGCGAAGCACTCCGGACTCCATCTATGCTCTCGAGGTCAATCCGTCAGGGTGGCATTGCTAAGGCTCCTGCATTGAGGCCTCTGAAGCCGTCACTGCCTGCGAAAGCTGGAAACCACGGAAAAACGGATGATGGTGCGTGAAATGACAGCTCCTACGATAAAGACAAAGGGAGAAACTGGAAAGCAGAGAAGTGTCGAGGAGCACTCAGGCGAATCCGCCTAGGTCTGCGACCCAAAGCACAAAGCACAACAGCCGAAGCGATCTGGTGCCTGAGAGATGCTCTCTCTCGTAAAAGCGATCGCCCCTTCCCTCGAATGGATTTGACCTTGGTAAGCAGCGCAACTGCACGCTTTCTATCTGTTGGATATGGGAGCGGCCGGACGCACTCCTAGCTTGGCAGACATCCAAACGCACCGGTCGTACACCGCTGGGCCCGCAGCCGAACCCACCCAACCAACCCCACAGCCCCTTTGCAGAAGCCGCCGTCTTCGAATCGAAAGCAGCAAAGTCGCCAAGAAGGTTGACGGCGACATCGTGGACCGACTGCTCCACAGTGAAACTCCGCACCTTACGGCTTCGAGTGCTTCGAGGAGATGCATCAAAAAGAAGCAGCGCAGCCAGTATACGGAAATCTCGGCTCGAGATACCTGAAAGGCACCGTGGTTGAGTAGACTCCCTGCGCTTGGCATTACAGGTATAACATGTACCAGGTACCAAAACACCAAACTCAGTGCAGACTTGGTGCTAAAGCTCGGAGCACCACTTCCTGCACCCAGTTGAAAACGCAGCTCGAGATTGTGATGAAACTCCAGATGGATTTGAATACTGCGTACGGGGGCAGCTTGCTGGCATTCGCGGCGGCAGAACCGGTCGAGAAGCTTTCGGACTTCTGGAGAGAAGCTGTGTATCCGGGTTCGGGGAGGCTGAGGCCGAACCTCTTCACAGTCCAGGTAGCTCAATCGCAGCCTTCAAACTCTTGATGAGCTTCTGCCCTGCCTCAGAAACCCACCCACAAGCTTGGCCTGGCTCGCCGACTGTCTGGAGAAGACGTCACCCATGCCGCAACCTGCCCGCGTTGAAGATGCACAACAGGTTTTTTCGTTTTTGCATTCACCTACCACTACACTCACTACACTCCATAAGTTCCAAGGAGCTCTTGCTGGGGCTGCGCTTGGAGCCACCGCGCTTGCTCGGAGAGCCTTGCGGCAAGTACCCCCCGAAGCTGCGACAGCGTCACAAAGCCCTGAGGACCAGGCCTCGCTGCGATCCAGCCAGGCTCTGAGAGCGTACTTGTAGCGAAGGAGTGGAATGACTTCGACTTCGAGTCCCAGCCTGGCAAAGGGGAGCCAGAGAGCATATAGGGAGTAATAGGGAGCCTTGCGACTCTACAGCCGAATTCGAGGACGAGGACGAGGCCTCGCCCCGCGCATGGACCTCTCGGACAACTGCCAGCGCAGCTCCGGCTGCTTCCAGAGCTGCGGGTGCCGAGCGACGCCGAGAAGTCTGGCGGACGCAGAAGCAGAAATTCGTAGAGTGAACAGCTGCATCACGCTACAGGCTACTAGTGATGTGCTGCCTTTCCCAATACTACGGGTCTTCAAGGTACTTCAAGAGTTTGTCAGTCAGTGCGTGTTGGGCTCTGCACGAGAATTACGGTCAGTATCCATCTCGAAGGGAACCTGCGAATGCTGGGAATCTCCCGGCCTCAACACTTGGCTGGCTGCCATCCATGGTGGCAAGGCGAAGGGCAGAGAACCGTCACTTCTAAGGCTGTGCGTCTTGAGACGGCAGAAAGGCGCCGTCGAAAGTTTGGTGAGGTCTGCAAACGACTGCACACGGAAACGAGAAGTTTCTACAGATCCCACGGTGATAAAGCTGTCGTGTTTCTTGGCAAAATGCAAGCTGACACATCCTGGGCTTGACGCCGACGACCAAGGTCTCGCCAACTCGCCTGTTGTGAGCCAGAGATAGAAAGCAAAAGTCAGGGGTTTCGAACGAGATAAATGACTCAATGGCGGATGTTGATGCTGAGCCGAGCAGTAGGTCAGCAGTTCTTTCGGATGGACTCGGGCCCACTGAGGCCTTGAATTGACAACTTTGACTAGAGATCTACTAGAGATCTTAAACAAATCATGGTTGCGATTCATCAGCGGCCTGCCGCCACGTCGACTGGCCTGCAACGCATCGGTTCGGAATCTAGCTTTTTGCAATCTCCCTGAAAGCCTGAAGGTATGGCATGTTGCATGCAATCGTGCATTCCACCGAACCCAGCATCGCACAGCTCCAAGGCACCTTTCCATTAGGCTGCATGGTTGCTCAAAGGCTTTGGTGACTCTAGTGGGGGACATAGAGTACTGGCCGGGCAGGATTCGCTCTGTCAAGGCTCCAATTCAGTGGTCAGGGAGTTAGGGTTGCAGCTTTTTGAGCGCATCTACAGATGGCGACTGCGATTTCGGTAAGCTGTGTTTCAAATCTTCCTTCCGGTGTGCAGAACTGCATACGTTGCTGGGACTCCCTTGAGCCCAGTACAGGGCGCCTGGGAAGCTTCGGAATCTGAGTGGCCGTGTGTTCAACTCGTGAAGACGAGCTGTGCCGTGAACGGGAGCGAAAGTTCCAGACAAAGGCATCTTTCGCTTCTGGCGTGGCAAGGGAAGCGTCTGCTAGCTTCCAGAATAAACGATCCTAGCCCTAAAACTTTAAACGGATGCAGGCATGTGGGCGTTCGAGGTTTTCCCTGAACAGGTCATAAGAAAGCATTCTGCAACCCAAAGAACCAACACTGCTCATGTTCTGCATCCGCATACGTTTCTTATGTTGTTCGAAGGCTCACGGCACTCCATCGCGAGAGGACTCGCTGTTCACACCAGCTGTCCAAACATGAAACTACACCCTTAGATGATCTTAGTGGCCAAGTTCAGCTGCCGGTTGCAATGTGCAAAGGCCGCATAGAACTGTCATGAGCCATCCGGAACAAGCGGGAGGTAAGAGGAGAACTGCGGTGCTGATTCCGGACTGGTCCACGTTGTTGAACTTGTCCGTGGTGACAGCGGGTAAAACTCTCCCCCCCATCCCGACCTTTGACTGAGCCCTGTATCCTCAAGCCATGTCACACTGTGTGTTCAAGATACTCGACCCCACGCGTGGAACAGCAATGTGCTTGCAGCGGATTTATCGCCAGGGTCCCAGGGTGCCAATGACACAGCTAAGCTGCCTTGGACGCCCGGGACCCTTCGACCTGCTCTTCAGATCCTCTCATGGAAATATGACGGCTATCGTAAGCTGTTGCTGTCCAGATTCTTGAGGCTTGCAGATTGTGGGCTATAACATGCTACAACTTCGTCTAGTCACGATTGCTGGCGGAAAGAGCAGGCATGCTGCCTATGTTGTTTGCTGTCGGGCTGAGCACGACAGTCTGACGTGAACGGGAGCAGTGTGAGTGCTCGACTCTCATGAGTGGGCGAAGTCCAGCAGCCTGTCGGGCGAACAATCGTCTGAAGCACTACACCGGTGATTAGCTGTACGATAAGCCAGCGCTTGTTTACTTGATCCAGCAATGGTGTGCATGGCTTGCGGAATGGACGAACTTGGCAGCTGTCAACTCTTCATACAGTACCGTTCGTACCAGTTCAGGAGAACGACCTGCTCGGATCACTCGCCAAGAAAGCAAGTACGGGTTCCGAAGGTGTGTGTCTGTGTGTGAACCGGCATGAGCCACGTCCATGACACTTAACCGCTTAACTCCGGCTCTGAGCGAACCTCCGGTTGCACAGCTCCGCCCTCCGTGGGGTGCGTTGGGTTGTCAGGCCACTGATGCGCAAAGGCTTCGCTGAAGAGGCAGAGGCAGTGTTGCAGAGTACAGAGCCCTCGAGCCTCTCCTCGGCGGAGTTAATGGACGGCCGGCGCGGCCGTGTGCGGGAGTTCAGAGTCAATGGTGGTGACCATTCGGCTGCGGCTTCGGCCCCAAGCATTTGCCGTAGGCCTGCAGGCGGGACAAGATCAAGGTCAAACTGACCTTTTGCAACTGCTAGCCATCTGCGGGCTGCTTTGTGGGCAGACCACAACTGGATTCTGCTGCACTCACACAGCTCAAAGTCGGCCTTCTGGATTTCATGCTGGAACTTGAACGAGTCGTTCTTCATGGTGTAGTGAAGATCTAACTTCTTTTCCTGGCACGTCGAAATGCCAAGGCGTCGAGAGGGAAGTTTTCCAGCAATCCCAGCAAAGGCCGAAGGCCGCCTCCAGGGTCAACATCAACTTGTCCATGACCCGAATTTGCGCCTGAAGAAAGTCACGAAACTCGCCGAAGCACAGTGGTTTAGCTCTCAGGTCCGGTGGGCGCAGCAGACTTCTCACAGTGATAATTTCTCGGTACGAGGGCTGGCCAAGCTGAAAGCAGCCGGAGCACGAGATACGCAAATTATGTATGTGCTTGCTCATTTAGGTATTCCAGTCATCCCACCGCCCTGAGCCATGCAGGTCACGAAGCAGCCCCTCGCCTCCAGTTCCTGCCCGATTGACACATGCTGCGCCGGAATGACATCATTGCAGACATTGTGCCACTGACAAGAGACACTACGATGCACGGTGTGGCGACCTTGAATCTCCAACGGCAAGAACTCTTCTTCTGATCTTGGCGTGTGAAGGCACTCTACCCAAGCCTCGCGGACTTGACTGGGCTTCTCTTCCTCCTCTTTCTCCTGCCAAAGTGTTCAGACAGGCGTGCGGCTGCGATCTTCGTGTGGTGGCAGCCCTTGCGAGCCTCTTCGTCCTCGGCTTCCTCCTTGATTGCCAAGTAGTACTCGATCGTGAAGGCCTGGCAAGTCGCAAGCAACGCCTGGCCCCCGCCTATCCTGAACTTGATGGACTCGAAAGGCCTTTGTGATCTCGAAGATGATTGCCACACCGAGTAGGTAGAAAGCCCTGAAGGGATCTGAGGCGGTTATGCAGCATGCACGAGCACCGTGGCCCCATGCGCCTGTAGAAGCACTTATGGTCAGGAGATGTTCGATCCGTTTGCATTTCGGTGCTCCCGTCTTGGAGTTGTTAAGGGGCGTTTGTGGCAAGAGAACCTTTCGGCAGATCTCTGACCCGTGAAGCTTCCCCGGCACTTCATTCGTGCGACAGAAGTTGAAGCCGGAGGGCGGGAAGACATACCAAGCGATGTTCCCCCAGGATGAGGCTGCCTCTGCAGAGCGTCAGGAAAAGACTCCGTCCGTATTCACGGAAACACTGCCCAGAAGAGCAACTGACATCTTCATGCTCCTATCCCGCACGCCCACAAAATCCCACAAACAAAATCACTAAAATCCCATCGCGGCACCTGCAAAGCATCCGCATTCTCTGGGACATACTCACCTGAGCTGCTTGAAGGGACTGCAGCATTGCAGCATGATCGGTGGGCGTCCATGCACGTTTCCCTGCGTTTTAGCACCAGGGTCCCCAGGCGAAAGTCGTGATTTCCTTTAAAACAACGCAGTCATGCCTAGGGCCTAGGCCTTTGCCTCCCCATAACCCGTCGCAGTCATTTGGCTTATATAAGCCTTGAGAGGAAGGTTGGCAATTCAAGCAGGGTCGATCCGGAACTACGATGCAGTCTGCTTCACACCGAGCGTCTAAGAAGCTGCGCGAAGAAGGTGGTGAACGCCATGGACATGTCGTTGAAATTGAACACATACCTCCGCAAGCGAGCGCACAAAATAATCATGGTGGGGGAATCCGCAGGAGGTAACTTAACAGTCACTGGCCGTGTTGTGGCCAAGTCACAGATGCTTCTTTCCATAATCAAGCTCCTGCGAAAAGGGTGACAAGACTGAGGAGGGTCACTCTGAGCACTGCTGGAACCACATCCAACTCTTTTCAGACCGCTCCGAGCACATCTCGTGCCACCCCCGGCTCAGGGTCCTTGAGCGCCGGCTGACCTTCGTAGAGCACGCCGCCCCAGAGGTTCCTTTCGTTGTTCCGATTCTGCGCTTCAGCCGCAAATCCGCTCAGTCGCTTGCAACTGCTTGCCGAGCCACATGCTCAGAGCTGAGAAGAAGAAGAGCAATACGCCCAACAGCTGGAGAATGTCACCGGCCTCAGATCACACAGCCTGATTCCAACAATGTGTTACTCAAGCCTGCTATGACGACATTGAGGCAGTGGCTGCATTCACCATTCGCGAGACAGTGCGCACCATGAACTGCACGCGCGGAAACTGCTTCAGCTGCTTGACCTTAACAGCAAAAGCTCCGCTCGCATGCCGTGTTGAGGCTGCACAGCTAGGCGCTATGCATGTGTCAACACGATTCAACGCGCGTGTAACACACCACTCCATGACTCCAGCAAACTTGGACTCTGCTACTGATACCGGCATGCTCCTCGGAATCGCACCACGCGGATAAGTCTGAGGAGTCGGAGGATGTTTGCGTAATGCTTGAGGTCCTCGGGCTGCGCGGTACTTCACGGGTTCACCACTTCGCAATGTTTGATTCTTCTGTGATCCTAACATCCAATGATCTGACACATGGACCATGGAGCTGAGAGAACGGGCCAGCTGAGCTGCACAAAGCTCGTCTCTTACGTGCCAAGGTTCTGCCTGCACCGTTGCAAAAGGCAAATACGGGAGCAGAGTCGTCGCGAGCAGCAGCCAGGTCGTGAAAAAATCGAACCTTCAAGGCCGTCTGGCAAAGGCTTTCTGTCATGGGATGTCTACATTGATGCACTGACACCACTCCAGAATTCTGAGCCAGGGCTCTTGTTTGCCCAAAAGCTGCAGTACTCGGCCCAGGACTTGACCTGTGGGTTGGTGACTGCAGGATCACAGTGGACGAAGTGCCGGCGCCAGATTTGAGATCACCGGCAATCATCGACACAAGTGATTCTGAGTACCCAATAGATTGGAAGGTATTGCTTCATGGCCTGATGGCGAAGACTGGGACACCGAGACCTGGACCTAGACCATCCACTGAGTGCTGGGCCGACAGCTTGACGACAACCTCGCCTGGGCAGCTAGACAACCCTGGCGTAATGGTCTAGTACTTGCCGTTGAAGCTCCTTGCTCTGCCGGTCTCTGCCGGTCAAGCCTGGAATTCGAAACCTTTTCACAGCTGTAAGCGCAGCCCCGCAAAGTCTTTCAGCCTTTGCTGGGAGTCGGGATGCCTCTTCTTTTCAGGCAGCCTCCCTCAAGAGCACTGGGAGAAGCTGGGCTCCCAGCCGACGTAGGCAAACGCGAAAACGAGGTCCAGGATGCGGAAGGCAGCTGGGGTCCCCCAATCGTTGAGGTTGTATGCGGACCTTGGACAGGCTTGCAGACTGCAGTACGCTTTCTGGTGCTCCGTGCACGTGCGGCGGAAAGTGGAAAGAACGGAGACTCCTGGAACATACCGGTGCTGTCCTAAGAAACCTGCATTATCAATCCTCCAGCGCCGCCGTGAGAAGCACCCCAACACTGCGCCCCAATCACAGCGATCTCGGGCCGCGGCTGCAGAATCACGAGTGCAAAATTTGCCAGCAACACCTGCTACAATCGTCTCTTCTCGAATAGGTGCTCGGGACTCGGGATTCCCGTGTCCAGGGAGGCATCGCTACCGGATACGTGCCAGAAAAGGCTGACAGAACCTTCAAAATGTCTGCAGTCGGCCCGCTTGCAAAGTGTCAGTGCATATGAGCTTACGTTTCTCGAAGCGCCTGATTCATGAACACGTCGAAGGTCGGAAGCTCCCTTGGCTCCCAGACGATATTCCTCCACAGCAGGGTGGGATTGCACTACGAAGGCCAGTTGTGCCGTGCCTCAGCCAAGTATATCGTTGCTCTTCCCACGCCCGGGGAAGCCGCCGCTTCATGCACGAGTCCTTCGAGTCAATCGGAAGTCTGGAATACCGCAACTGCCCCAGGCAGAAAACACAGCAGCCACAGTACACAGTCTGACAGTGGCCAGACCCCAGTCCTTCGGGGTTGCCCATATTTGGTTTTGAAAGACGCGGCAAGCGTCCAAGAACTTCTCCTGTCCAGGTGATCTCAGGACAGAAGCCGCACCGCTCTGCGTACGGCATGGCATGCCAACGATTCGTGAGTTCAAGACGAAGAGGCTCTTGAAGCTGACATGAGAAACAACATCCCCGTTCCGCCTCGGTGACTTCGCCAAAGTGTTGGAGCAACAACTCCGCCTCGCTTGAGCACCATGCACCGCACGTTTCTTCATGCATGCATGCACATAAGCAGGAGCTTAGGGTACGTGCATGAGGAAGTAGGTACGCACACACGACCGCATGCATTCCCGCATGCACTTGCAGACATGCCAACAAAAACACCGATGCACGTTCAGCGCTGGATGTTGTGTTTCTGCCAGCACAATGAGCACTCATTGGCAAAGACGTCTCCTTCACACTAACATACGCACTTGACTGATGTTCAGCTTTGCGTACATTGCATGGTCTCAGCTGACATTGCACTTCACTTGACCCATTGTTGCAATGATGTATCGTAGTAACAAGGTAGTTCATGCGACAATAGCATGATCTTGTACAGCTCACGGATCAACCACACACACACACATACACATACATGCTAGTGCATGCATGTCTACGGGGCATACTTGCTTTACAAACGATATTACACACCGGCACGCATCACACCTTTGAAGAACATCTGCACGGAGCTACGTTAAGAAATTGGAGTGCCGTGCAGCCCGTTCTGCTACTGCTCGGTAAGGTGGCTGGCAGCTTTTGTGTACAACTTCATACGCGGCGCACCACGTGCACCACAGGTAGTCGTGCTCTCCAGAGCTTCATGCTCAGCTCCACGCCGTGGCACGCTCGACGGGGAACATGCCTGATGACGACGGATGACTAGGGATCGATCACACCATAGCTGGCGAGTAACAGAAGCTGCAACCGAGCTGCGTGGAGATTTGCCTAGATCTTCCACGAACTCTATGAAGACCTCGTGGGGGACCACTTGGTGGTCGCTGGAGGCTGCCTCAACGACGAATCAGCAGTTGATGCATGCCGAAGAAGACTCCAACGTCTTGCGCATCTGTTCTTTGACTCGAATTCCAGCTTGAGCTTGGAGTCATGTTCTGCCCACTTAAGAAAGCCCTAGCACTTCAGCTACCTTCGGCTTTCTGCAACACGGCAACTCCGAAGTATCGACCGCTTGCCAGCTAGGAAGCCTCTTTCGTGCCGCCAAGATTCAGACAGTGTCTTGAAAGCGCCATGCATGCTCTGAGCCTCTTTGCATACCGCTCGCTCAGAGGGACAGCTGGGTCAATCTACGGTAGGTGTCGCTCCGTGGCACCCCGCATATCCGGAAGAAACCCCTGCACTTTGGCCTGCGCCGATGCTTTCCGGTCCAGCTCCTGCAACTATGCGAAGCAGCTGAGTCCCCAAGTAAGTCCTGGCTCGTCTAACCGTAAGGTTGGGTACGGACGGCTGTCTTGGTGAAACTTGCCAGCTAAGTCCATGAGCTCCAAATCTTCCCTGACTCGACTCCGAGTCCTCTTCTGAGCCTTTCAAGTAAGCCGCCACGAAGGCGTCAATAACGAGATTGAGCAGCCTGGATCATGCTCTTGACATGGCAAGGAGGTGAACAAAACGGACGCCCCACAGGGGCCACCGCCCACTCGACATTCGACGACTAGCACATCTTCAACTTTAACATAACATTCCGCCGTCTGCTGCTGGGGCCCGCACAGAATCTGGGCCATAACTAGGAAGACCAGCCAGAAAATACCTGATACACGCCGCATCATCAATTTCGAGCCTTCTGCCGTGCAACCCACCGCTATTGCAAGCCGTACTGATCCTGCCTGACAGCCGGTAGGTGAAGAAGGACGGGAGGAAGTTGCTCACGAAGCCTTCACCTTATGAAGATGAGGCTGATTACGATGACGATGATGGTGATGATGATAAAGACGATGATGCTGGTGGTGCAGAGTCTCTATATCCAGGTTTGGGTCTGAACAGGGCTATGTCCGTAGACGGTCATGTTTGAGGGAATTCCATCGTGCCTCCGCACTTGGGTTGCCAGCCCGTCTGGTTACTATAGCTCCATGCTGCCACGCACTAATATGCTCGCCAGATTGGCTTACGACTATCAGCTTCTGTATGCGGTGGAGCAGTCGCCGCAGTAGCAGCACTAGTAGTAGTAGTAGTAGTAGTAGTAGTAGTAGTAGTAGTAGTAGTAGTAGTCGTCGTCGTCGTAGTAGTCGTAATAGTCGTAGTACTACTACGACTACTACGACTACTCCGACTACTACTACTACTACTGATGCTACTACTACTACTACTACTGCTACTACTACTACTACTACTAGTACTACTACTACTACTACTACTACTACTACTACTACTACTACTACTACTACTACTACTACTACTACTACTACTCTACTACTACGACGACTACTACTACGACGACTACTACTACTACGACGACTACTATTACTACTACTACTACTACTACTACTACTACTACTACTACTACTACTACTACTACTACTACTACCACTAACTACCACTAACTACTACTAACTACTACTAACTACTACTAACTACTACTACTACTACTACTACTACTACTACTACTACTACTACTACTACTACTACTACTACTACTACTACTACTAGCACTAGTACTAGTACTTTGTACAAGTACTACTAGCAAGTAGTAAGTAGTAAGTATCTCGTAAGTAGTACGTAGTACATAGTAAGTAGGAAGTAGCAAGTGGCAAGTAGCAAGTGGCAAAGAACAAAGCAAGTAGCAAGTAGCAAGTACTAAGTAACTCGTAGGTAGTACGTGGTACGTAGTAAGTAAGAAGCATCAAGTAGCAAGCAACAAGTAGAGAGTAGCAAGTAGCGATCAGCAAGTAGTTCGTAGTACGTAGTAAGCAGTAAGTAGTAAGTCAGTAGTACGAAGTCACTAGGACGTAGTAAGTAGTACGTAGTAAGTGGTAGGTAGTAGTAGTAGTAGTAGTAGTAGTAGTAGTAGTAGTAGTAGTAGTCGTCGTCGTCATAGGAGGAGGAGCATCAGTAGCAGCAGCAGCAGCAGTAGCCATAGCCGTAGCCGTAGCCGCAGCCGTAGCCGCAGCCGCACCCGTACCCGTAGCAGTAGCAGTAGCCGTACCAGTAGCAGCAGCAGTAGCAGTAGTAGCAGCAGTAGCAGCAGTAGCAGCAGAAGCAGCAGTAGCAGCAGCAGAAGCAGTAGCGACAGGAGGACGAGGAGGAGGAGCAGCTGCCATGGTAAAAATGCTGGAACGACTACAAGCTGCCCCGAGCCTCAGAAGGTGTTGCAAACCTAAGTGCTACCCAGGCACCAATTCCAGCGACGAAAAGGGAGTAGGTAGCCTCAGCAACAAGGCTACAACAATCCAGGCTCGATCGGAGAACAAGCATACATGTCCGTTGCGTAGCCAGTCTTGCCTTCCCCGTGGCAGTGAACCATGCGAGCAGCTGTTACCAGCGTTGATGCCTCTAGGACTCCTAGCGTCCCTGCATATGCGCGGTGAATACGGCTCAAGGCAGACAAGTCCAGAAAACAAGGCAGCCAAGGCACCTCCCTCACAGTCGACAGGCCCTGTTCAAGCTGTCAGCGCTCGTGCTGTCAGGCTTTTTCCCTAGTGCACAGTGCTCGCAGGTGGCGGGACTGGGAGAAGAAGGTGTTAGCAGCTAGCAGCTAGACTGTCTGTCAAGTGTCAAGGTTGATTACTCACATGACGAGGTGCAGCGACTCCGCTACTCGACGTGCACAGCTCTCCAGTTGCCAGGCCTTGTTGGCAGGGACTACCTCCTGTCAGGGTGCTGACACCGGGAACATAAGTTGCTTAGCTTGGAGAGTTCGAGATCGCCTGAAACAGCTTGGAACAAAAGCAAGCAGCCACTGTGCCTGAAAGAGAGAAGTAATCGGAAAGGGGTAAGGGAAAGGTATAACACACTGGCAGAAGGGAGAGCGGCGGGGCTCGAGCCTTAGAGGAACCTTCAGCTGAGAAGAGCACAGGCACGTATTTCGGATCGACATTGTCTCACAAAGCCAGAGCTCCTCGTCGTCGATGTAGGCGGTTTCGTTCAAATCCTTGAAGATGATGACCGTCACCCACGCGAAGAACAGCCTCTGCTGGCTTGAAAGTTATCAGGCTCAAGCATGAGACGATCACCTGCGAAAAGTTTGTGGGCAGCCTCAGAAAAAGGCCTCTCTTGGACCGGCAATGGAATCGATGTGCAAAGGAACTTACTTCCAACAGCTGCTGCGGCCAAGTGGCACAGTGCCAACAAAGAAGACTGCAACTGACCTTTACCGTTGAAGTGGGGCACAACAAAGGCATGATGAATGAGACTGTCTAAAACAACGAACGCCACTCGGCAGCTCTGTCGCCATTCACGTTTCTGCGATAAACCGAACATGTCGGCAGTTGCCCAGGCTCTGCATCTATGGACACATGAGGCACTGATTCAATGAAGCCACGCAAACTCTCCAATCATCCGCCTCGGCCGCAATGAATCAATGAACAGTCGTCGTGCACATCTTTTGATGGAGTTCTTCAGTCTAGCAGGATATTGACAGCTGCAGCTTTCTGGAATTAGTCTCGCCCAGCTGAAAGGCCGACAAGACCAGTGTGCCTTGTCTTGTGAATAGTCAAAAGCATGCTGTGCGATCGAGTTGGTGAATTTGGCGCTCACTGAAACGAAAGGGCCACAAGAGGTTCCATCCATGAATCGGATATCTTCTGCGTCGTCCAGACTGCAGCCGAAGATGCTTGTTGAAAATCAGGGTGTAGACTCGTTGCACACCCGGCAGGATAAAAAGGAGGCCAGTCCTGAAGTGATCCAGACACGCTTGGAAGCCCAAGGCGCTGTTCATTAAGCTCTTTGGGGTCGAAATACAGCCGTCGCGGTGCCCGAGCTTGAGGCAGCTACTGTAAGATCAAGCAGGCACGAACAACAAGATGACTGCAACAACAGTCGAGTGATGACAATAACAAGAACGAGCGGCTTGCTTCATACTACTGCCATAACAACGATGGGAAACATGCTGTCCAAAGGCACCCATGATGTATCAGAACGACAAGCAACACGTGCAACATAGCATAACGGTAACGACCATGATGACTTTGATTTTGGCAGTAACATACACAAGAATCACGACAACACTGAATGCAACATAATGATGGTAGGCTTGCAATCTGCTGACGTGCTTAAAAGGAGCACTGATCAGTGTTGGGATATATGATATATGGATGCGGCCAATTTGAACGCTTGCATACCAGAAGTTGAAAGAGGTCTGCTGCCCCAACTTGTAGATGGAAGACGACTAGAATAATCTCGCCCTGGAGAAGATAGTGCCGGCGTGCCACGTACGAAAGAGACAACTTGCGAAGCGACAAGGGTAGCTCGATACACAGAAAAAACCAACTTTGTGAGATGATGTCGCGCAGATGTCGATGGGAAACTTGTAATGTTAGTCGAACAGGGGTGTCCGGCTGGAACCCGCGATCTGCAATTATCTGCAGCGTCTTTACGCATGCATCGTCTGAAAGCGGACTCGGAAGAGCGAAGCCTGAAATAGACCACTCTGCCGAGAAGCCTGAAGATCCAGGTGAAGCGGATGGGCATCCGAGCGAAGGTGAAGACTAGCCTTACGTGTGGGTCTCTCAGTGATCTGTTGGCTCAAATCTGCAGGTTCGGTCCACGTCAAGCTAGGGTGGGAGGTACTCTGCCAGTCCAGTGGAACGGAAGTCTGCATTCCGCACTATTAGTATGGAAGGCAGGTCACGGTCACACTCGGCAAGCATGAAAACTGTTGACATGCCGTGCCCAACAAGCAGCGTATCGATCATGCTGCCGACAGCAAGGAAAAGACCCGCAATGACCAAACCTCGGCTTCAGCATGTGGAAATGGGCAGGCACACGTTCTGCGCGATGGGGGGTCCCAGACACTGGAACTCAGAACGCATGGAGAATCTTACTGACTGATGCACTCGTGTCCTGAGGCCGGTCGCTGCTGCTCCGTGAAACTATTCAACCTCAAATGCGCCGATACATCTCCAGATCCTGGTGTTAAGCTGGGCCAGGCTGCTGTGGTCGAAGTACTGCATGCCAATCGCCCGGAAGTGTTGCTGATCCAGGTTTAGGTTCAGCAGGAACTGGCGGCACGCACTGCAAAACTAGCTCTACTTGAGAAGAGGCCACGAAAGCTAGGGCAAAAAAAGGAAGCAAGGTCGTTGTTGCGTGCATGCTCGGCACCGTGGATGCTACGTATTCAACCCGCAAGATGATACAGTTCTTCTGCTTCACACTGGCCCACATAAAGATACACCCTTGCTGTACCGTAGAAATTTCTGTCGCAGAACAAGCATATTCGTGAAAGCTCAGAGCCCTGCGTGACACCGCTCAGCAGCCAATTAATCCACGTTGCACTGCATCTTCACACTCAAGATCTACAAGCCTCCCCAAGTATCAACAACATTAAACTCTACGGACGGCTATGCTTGCAAGCATGGCCTTCAAGGAGGGGGGGGGAGGGGGGGCCTCCCAACACCGAAATCCTTTGAAAGAAAGGCCTCTTAAGGCAGTGAACCTTCGTTGCACCCATGGAACTACCTAGGAGGAAATTTGTGAACGACAACTCCCGCAAGCTCCAAAGAGCTAGCTTTCGCGATATGTCAAGAGACAGCTGCAGCCTCGTGCTCAAGAATGCAACGGCTTCACCAGGCACCAATATAGTTGCCCCTACACGTCCCTTCTCTCTGAACGTGGCACCTTCCGGAGGATGATAATCTCGATCACAAACTCGATGAGCAGCCCAAAGCCAGGTGGGATGTACCAAATGTTTGACAAATACCTGGGAGCGGCACTCGTCCCCGTGAACACGCTTGGAACGCTCGTCAGCGATTGTCTCACGCTCACCGCTCCCCCGCCCGAAAAAACTAGGCCATTCAACAAGACACAGGCAAGCAAATATCTGAAAATGTCTACCAGAAAGTCTCGGCATTGCCAGACAGAATTCCGCCCGGTCCCATGTGACTAGAACCTGTCGTCAAGCCACGGGTTGCCCCCATTTGGCACATGGCACCACTCTCCAGGAGGCACCCAACTCCACATGTCCTGGAGGGCGCCAGGCACAGCAGTGCTAAAGTGGGGCCCCTGTGCCAGCTGCCGCGGCAGGATAAGATACGCGTGAAGTCCGTCATTCGATACTGCCATGATACGAATTTTTTGCACTGTCATCGCTGGACCCGCTACGTACACCAGTGAATCTGCGTAACTCCTGCGTTGGCGACCGCTCGTGGCACCATGGTGGCACCTCGCAGAATGTGAGGATCACCAGGGCGACAATGGCCTGCATTTGCGGTGGACCCCTCTACTTCCAGTTCTTTCGAGAAAGCTTTTATCCTTCGACCAGTACATTGCAGGCATACCCCTCGCTCAAACTTCACGTCTTAATTTCGTTTAGTCGTAGTGCAAATCTTCGCTGATACCCGGATGCGATGGATTCGCGACTTTGGTCAAGTGCCTTGTAGTACAGTTTGTTGGCATGCATCACCTCAGATGCCAAGGCATCGCTGCCTGACAAACTCGAGCACCGTAGACCCACCTTGCCTCGCTTGCTGTGCTAATGCCAGATCAGGCACTTTGAAGTGCTGTTGTCGCGCAGCAGAGCAGTCGTCGGGATACCTCACCGACGTTTCCAAAGACGTGCCGGGTCAAGCATTCGAGCAACGTGCGCTTTGCGGAGTTTTTGGAGCATTCTCACTCACCAGCCCCCGAGGCAACTAGCACCAAACTCTGTACAAGCCTGCCAGGACTTTTCTATGATCCCCTCGATGTTGCTTCATGAATAGTACGTCGTACGACTGCGCCTCACCCACTCAGTGTGGAAGATCGCGTTTTCGAACTGCCAAGCGGCCTCACACACACTGCAATTTACCAAAACAGTTCATGCAGGTGCTCGTCACAATGAGCGGTCGTGAGTTGCGTGAGAATTCTGGACTGGGACATTTAATGTCTCACTAACGGTGTCTCCCCTACTCGCGAATCTTGAAGTGAAGTACGCGGCGAAAGGTGCTCAAAACGTGGGCAGCTTGGCCTTGGCAATTCTTTCGTGGGACAATGCCTCAGCTTCGACATTCGTTGGCTCCGCCCGAAAGCAGAACGAAACATGCGCTGCACGTCACTTCAACAGCATGATCACGCAACGCTGGGATCGCTAGTCCCGGCCGTGGTACCGGATGATCATGACTCCTCTTCTGCTCCATGGCTTCCTCATAGGCCTGGCTGAAAGTTGCCAAGCACCACAGTCACCAGGATGAGCCGTGATTCTCGAGAACTGACATGAGGGATAGGCCACAACACACCAGAGGCATACTACTCACAGTGCCCGGGCTCTAATGCTCCAACCGTACTTCTAATCTTCAGTCTTTGGAAGTCCCAGAGAAGAGAGAGAGAGAGAGAGAGAGAGAGCGAGAGGGAGAGACAGAGAGAGAGAGAGAGAGAGAGGGAGAGAGAGAGAGAGAGAGAGAGAGAGCGAGGGAGGGAGGGAGGGAGGGAGGGAGGGGGAGTGGAGAGCGGAGAGTGGAGAGCGGAGGCAGGGCTGACAAAAAGAATGAAGGGTGCCACGAAGCCTCCTTCAACAACTTGGGAAAGTTCGGCTCGTCCTGCGCCGACAGTTGAGCGGCACCGAAGTATCACGGCTTTCTCGGATTAGGGACATCATTCAAAGACGCCACGTTGAGCGGTAAAGTAGACATTGAAAAACACGTAGGACTTGCGTAAGCTGCAGCGCCATCATAATTTGAACAGCTGGCATCCAATCTCGAAACGTTTGACATCACAACGTGAATGTTGGTGTTAATACATACTGTTACATGCTGTTTACAGTATCATGTGCTTTTCATGACAGTCAACCTTTCATGACATTCGAAGCAGTCCTAAGCGCACAGAACAATCCTGATCTTTCACGATACTCGTGACGCTTCATCAATGTCATGGCACTCACAGTATGCATTCATAACCTCCATGGCAGCCCTTGCCTTCAGAATATAGAAAGCTCACACGGCCGTATTATCTGTCGCCCCATACTATAAAACAACACCCGACGTCCGAAGGGGCCAGATGTCCCGAAGGCCGAAGGCCCGCTACATGCCCTTAACTGAGAGCACCATATCATCCAAGCATGTAGACAGTGCACAATACAGTACAGAACACAAAGCGAGGATATACAGTTGTCAGCTATGATGACGCTTCGCACATGTATTTTCAATAATTAACACTCACAAAGATTCATATCTTGGCGGCCTGGTGCCATGGAACCACTACAGCTGAGTGACTGGGGGAACCATGCTGAAAAAGCAGGAGCTGGAGCTCACGACCATTGGGTGCGAGGAGGCGGCAGCTCAGACATATGGCTTCTGTATGTGCGTACATCATCCAAAAAAGATCTTCGTTCGTTGATGTGCAGGTGCAAAGGGCACAGACCTACCACTGCTTGGTACATTGCTGCATTGCTGTACCGGGTCAAAACATTAGGCTTCACGGGTCATCATCAGTTAGAGTGGCTCATCCGTTCGTCTTGGCGGGCCTCTGTGACATAATGCACTTGCAGGTCTCTTTCCTCAAACTTCTCTTGGACCTGCCGAGCACTCACCCATGACGCACTCGTACATGCAGCTCTAGGTTTGCTGCGATGTGGGCTTCATGTCGCTGACTTGGTTGTTTTCCTGCAGCTTCAGACATCAGAAGTGATCTCCCTGGCACTGGAACTTCACATGGATCACTTCGACTCGGCCTCTTCGAAGAAGTCATCCTCGGCTGCTGAGGAGTGGTCGCAATAACTTTTACTTTGGAAGAGGTTTCCGGGCTTGGCTACACAAGCCGGCGTGCACGTCAAAAGAGGCTTCAGCTTCAGGGCAGTTGGACTGCCTCATGTCTTAAATTTCGTAAGTTCAAGATCGTGTCGCCTCATGAGGTATCAGGGTCCGTATCTACTATAGACCATAGGCCATAGAACCCCTATACAATCAGAGTGTGAGTGTGAACTTTCGGCCGACTGCTATTTGTGCAAACAGCCAAATCCAATGTTGACAGGTTTCGATCACGAAGTCCTTGGACTTGCCTTCGCCATGCTCCTACCGCCATGCCGAACAGTCATCGCAACGTACCCTTGGGTTTTGAGGGTGACAAGGCATATCCTAAAACCGACGTCGGCTTAACACAAAGAGAGCTGCTCGGACTCCTCCGCATGACCCCCGGGGCCGTGCGGGGCGTGCTCGGCAGATCCTCCGTGACCCTCCTGCGAAGGGCTGAGACTCGTGCCGTGCATCTTACGGGACATGCGAGACGAAGGCTCGGGGCCTTGGGGCCTCAAGGGCCTCGAGTCTCGAGCATTGAAGTTCAACACCCGAAAGCTTCACTAGGCCCACAGCCTCCTGCTTACGATCGGCTTACAGCGGCGTGAAGCAGCGGCAAAGTGGAATGCCAGGAAGAATGCGAAAGTTGTAGGTTGCCCTTGACACTTTCCCATCCCTGTCATCTGCATGCCCTCCATGTCCCTGTGGTGCATTGTCATGTAACGAGAAAGCACGGAAGAGGGCTGAAATCAAGGTCCGGAGCACAACTCATTTAAAGCGCTATTCAGACCGAAACAACTGTTCAGATCTTCCTAGCAACATGGCTGCATGTTTAGGCTAAGGCAGGCCAGGAATGGCGCAGGGAGGACATCATCCAGATACGAGCTCAGTATGCTCCACCTGGCCTCTTCTTCCTCGTCTTCCTCTTCCTCGTCCTGGGTAGCGGCACAAGTGTCGGCGCAGCGTGGCAACAGTTCCAGAATGGGTGAAGCTCTGCGAGAATTTTGGGACAAGCTGAACGTGGCTCACTCGGACTTGGCCTCACGAACAGGTTTCTGCCGTACACTTCACCCAGAAGCAGAAGTAGATGTGAGGCTTCTTTTGCAGACTCGGCGCTTCTTCCTTTTCGTTCTCCTGCATCGCACTGAGCTCAACCGATCCAGCGTGGGACTAATCAAGACTTGTGAGCTGCTGACCCAAAACACAGCTTCCATCTGTAAAGTATATAAGCTGCAATGTTACCGTGGGCGCCTCACGCAACTCGATATAGGCTTCGACCGTGAAGGCCAAAAGGATCTCAAACATGATGGCCACCTGCCGTTACGGCAAACATCTCTCCGGGCTTCCCTGCACACTTCGCCAGGCTTCGCCAGATCGAGCGCCCCACTCCCAGAAAGTAGAAGATCGGGAAGATCAGCCAAGCAATGTTACCCCACCTCGGCTGAAAATCTGCTTCAAGTGGCTTCTGCCAAAGGACTGCAGCGATTTCACCTATGGTGAACCTCATCACACGTTGGCATTGATGGAAAGCTCTCATCACAATGATCACAATACCCCTGAAGCTCCGGGGCTGGGGCTCCGATGCCGCCTCCAGTGCCTTCCAAGTCGACTCATGATGGCCTTCTTAGCCTACTGCTGTATCTATGACAGCCTAATATAGGGGCCTTGATAATCAGGATAGTGTCTTGGCTGTGTTTTGGGGTATGCTATACTATGACTATAATGAGGAACCCCTCTAGTACTATCACAAAACGGAATGATAGCTTCAATCCGACTTGACCTCAGGTCCGCAAGACTTTCCACATGCCTCCGCATTCGTTGGAACGTACCTTGGCCAGCGATATGCTCGGCAGCACGACAAAGCCGGCTAGCTGACTTGTGTAAAGGTCTACCCAACGGAGTGTAGTATGTCTCGGGCATCTCCAAGACTGCTTCAAGAAATCACACGGCCAGCCCAGGACGCGACTCGCAGAGAAGCTGCGTGAAGAAGAGGGCAAAGGCCTAAGGGCTGCAGGGCTGGGGCTCGGAAGGGAATTGATAAGTCTGTGTCTACAACCTTTTCATTGGTTATCATTGCTGTGTTTCTACATGATACCAGAGATCATGATCATGAACCCCTTAACCCCTTCAAAGACCAAAATCCTTGCATTAAAATACAGATTCTCATAGAAACTTTCTCCAAAAGCACCATAAAGCTTGCTATACCTACCCATTCACCTGCAACTGGAGATTCAGGACCTGTGGAGGTTTAGGTCACCAAGGATCTTAATAAGATGCAGTCAGCAAGAAATGGCATCCTGTGTGCCGCAACCGAAAGCGCACGGCATCATGCTTAGCAAGGACATGTACTCGCTTTCAACACATGCTGTCCAGTCTGCGACGGCAGGTGCAGTTCTTGCTCCCTGGACCGATTGTTCTGCGCATTGCCCTGTCTTTTCCAATCTCGTGAGGTCGGTGCTCTGACACCTCAACGACAAGGACTGGCGCGGCTTGTGGCTTGGGCTCGGCAGCCACTGCCTTGCTTTAACGATCTTTAACGTCTGGCTGGCCTTATATGGCCAGGTGCCAGCCATGGGCAACCGCTCCGGGAAGGGAACGGGACGGGCTGTTGTTCGGGCCACGGGGGCATTGTCGACGGCTCGCCAGTGGAGTCCTCGCTGGCTTTGAGAGGGTGGATTTGGCCTTCTCACGATCCTGTGCAGGTCTGGTCATATACGACCGCAGCTGCATGCCTGGTAGGTCGCTGACAGACGAAGTGCCCAATGCCTTGAAAGCCTTGCCCTGGTTGTACCAAGCATCAATCACGCACGACGCGCTGGCCACAATGCAGGCATCTGCCGCTGAGTCTGCCTGACTATTGTGCTTGTGGGGACTTCCACATGTCCGCTTAGTTGTGACGGATGTTGTGAGACATGTGGATGCTCACCGGCTCAGCTCCAAGCAACTAAAACACTCGGCAGAAATTCCGGCTGCAAGAACGACGTCCAAAGCACCCAAAACCCGTGAACACTCGAGCTCAGAACCATCACAGCATCGTTGAAGTTGAAAACGAACCAGTGCTTCTCCTCCGCTCTCGAAAGCTTCGGCGAAAGCCTGTGTGAAAATCCTTTCTTCGGGCCCCCCCTCCCCACAGTCCTCGTACTCCGTGTGCTTGAGAGCTGGGTTGCCCTGATAATACTCAAACAGGACTCGCAAAAGGACAGCTTCGTGCAGATGTATACCTGCGATTCATCCGACTCACTGGCTGCCGCAAGGCATGACCGCATGTTTGACATCGTCTCCCAGGCTGCAAGCCTTGTACAGCACTCCTCCGAACAGATTGACTCCCAGAGTCATGAAGAAGAAAACCACCTCGAGCAGTGTAAGAGACTCTCACGCTTACAAATACAGCCTGCGAAATCGTGCCGAGAAGCGCAGCCAAGCATGAGAAGGATGCTGCCTGAGAACACCATGTTCCAGGTTGGGAAACACGATCAGTGACCAGTGCTGAGCAAAACTCAAACTCAATTCTTCGCGCGTGCTGCTGGATGCCAGAAGGCTCTTTTACTGTGTGCACGTGCCGCTCCCGCAATTTTCTGTGCGACACACGTGTTGCAGGACCGAAGGAGGCGGAGCACCTGCGGCAGACACCATCTTGGAGACGGCATTGGCCAAGAACCTGGCAGTCAGGTGACTAAGCGATGTTGGGCCGAGAGTATGTTCTATGAAGCGGGAGAAGCGGGATCTGCTATCGATGATTCATGCGTTACACAACATCGAGCAGAAGACAGAAACAGAGAGAGAGAGAGAGCGAGAGCTGCAGAGTCTTCAAGCTGGATGAGGTGGTAGCACTAGTTTGCGGCGGAGTGCTCTGGCGCAGGAAGGCAATGCAGCTTCCAGCAAACATCAGCTAGAGTCAGCTAGAGCTCCGAGTCCCGAGCTGAACAGAGCGCAGTGACTTGAGCTGCTTCACAACCTGGTAGTAACAAGGCTTGAATCTCTCTCTCTGAGTGTCTCAAAACCTAGAAGACTTCCGTCTCTGGGCTTCGTGCACGCAGAAGTCGCAGCAGCCGCAGAATGTTGGCATACTGCTTCAGATCAATCGGCATAACCTGAATCGGTTAGGTGCGATCTGGCAACGGTATGGCTACAGCTTTATCTACGCGGTGTCGGATGTGTCATGTCGTGCCGCCATCTCAGGTATACGATATAGGAGCAAACCAAAGCCCTGGGATGCCCTTGGATTGTAGCTTGGAAGGACATCAGGTGCAGACGACACGCGCTTTACCCATTTGCTGGCAGATTCAATCGGCTTTGTGCCTCCAAGCCTACCACCCGCAAGAAAATCCTCTCTTACATCCACACCTGAAGTTCACAACTCTGGCTGCCCCAAGCCGACTGCTGCACTAACAGGAGATGCAGCTTCCATATCAACTCGTTTGGCAAAGAACAAGTACGTGCAGTGGCCGCGATCGTAGCATCATGGTCCATGGCTTTGCAAGGCCCCAGCGCTGTGAGGCAAATACGGCAGAACGCTCGTGAAGAGTAGCAGGAAGGTCGTGAAGAAATCGAAACCTGCGCAGTTCGCTTAAGGATCTCTGCCATTGGCTTCAAGCCGTGTTTGTTCTGGAGACCCTGGACCTGACTCTGGAGGCCGACATGATCCGATGAACAAAGGACAGCATCACAGAACCGGAACAGTTTGCAATAGTTATAGTTATATCTCTCCTTTAACTACTGTGTGTTGTCATGACTAGCAGACTTACAAATCACTCTTGCTTCGCTGAGAGGAGCATGAGCCCAGGTTCACGTTCTTCCTATCGTCCATCGGGATCGAATGATTCTCACGATGCCGCCACCTTCAGGTTGTCGGGCTCACGAGAGCACGCTCAGCCACGCGACTCGCACGTCACATGCGCGGCGCAATGCCGAACGAACCGTAGTGACACCTAATAAAGCCCTGTGCTGTACCTGCATTGTCCTCTTTGGGCGCAGCTCCTAACATCGACTTTGACCTGTGAGTCTGTGAGTGCTAACGCAAGAGTTTGTGGCTCCTATCCGTCCTTCGATGCATTCCCAAACCCTCTGCTCTGCGAACGTCTGAAACCTGTGGCCCAGGCGGTTCGCCGCCGAGCGCCAGTACACATCGAAAGTGCGCACTGTCACCTTGACCGCGACCTGAGTGCGTCCCCAGCACGACAGGCTGCGAGATCTTAGCATCCCACATGTTGGTAGACAGCAACTCACGGGTTTGACCACAGCTGCCACAGCTGCTACCTAATCATTGCGGGTCTGGTTCAGGTATCTCAGTTGAAGTTGGTGTTGGTAATTTCGATTCAAATTGCACCTGCTCAAGACGGTAAAATTTCTCCTGGCTGTCTCAAGCCACGGCTTACACATGTTTTCACACGACTTGCACATGTTTTCTGTTTTCACACGAACGGCACCTCGCCCAAGTACACGAAGGAGAAGACCAGCTCCACCTTCGAAGGCGGGAAGGATCCTAATACTGGAACCAGATGATGTTGAGCTACCAAATACACCGAAACACCGAACTGGATCTCCTGCCAAAGGCTGCTTTTATGCCAGTCATTCAAGTATACATACCTAATTACCTGCCAGCCTGCCTGCCCTGCATACGAAATGTCATAACTGCATGTCGAGATACACAGATGCAAGCATACATGCATGCATAGATGCACGGATGCGCAGATGCATACATCCATCCTTCCGTACATCCGTACATACCTACATACGTACATTCAGACGGACCTACCTACCTACATACATACGTACATGCATGCATACATACATACAGACATGTGGGTCGACATGTGTTATCCTGCACAGAGTTTTGTACCATATTGTACTGCAATGCGTTTCAGTGTGCTCCGAATACAACTTTCAAATCGAGACTATCGACTTGCGAAAAAGAGCGAATATCCCGCCCCTGAAGCCTCAATCCCAACCCTACATCCTTACATCCGAAACTCTCAAACTCCAACATGGGTGCGTTGGTGCAGCTCCGACCCCTGTGTGATGTCGGTGTGTTGCTATACACACAAATATTAAATAAGCATATCTGCGACATGGGGCCGTGTCTTGCCACGTTACTAACTGCTCACTACAATCCATTTCTGTCAATTGCACCCATATTTTGTCGCTACCTGACTGGTGCCTCTAATGCTTCCCTTCGATGGCAACCCACCCCGAGGGTGGGGAACAGTGGCTGAATGAAGCTGAACACATAGGGGATGAGTCGACTACAAGCGCAGACTGCTCCTCACTCATCATGTAATAAGAGCCCAGCATATCCAGTCCAGACCTTGGTGGGAACCCGTCTGGATCATTCGGTCCTACAACCTCACGCGCACGGCTGAGCGCAGAGCACATAAACAGTCGCAAACTGCTTCTTAGGCAATGATAAACTCGCACAGCCGGTGCAGCCAGGAGGCCGGTGGGTCGCCCCAGTCATTGAGGTTGTAGGCTGACCTGGAGCAAAACTGCAGTCTTCTGAACATGCTATAAGTGGCACTATAGCCCAGCTTTCGTCGTCTCAAGATGTCACACCGGAGCTGGGGTATGGCTCTGGGGCTATGGTAGCGCCACTTCCAGTCTGCCGCAATGCTGCCACAGTGGCTCGACCAGAACAAGCACCTGGGAATTCCAAACTGCAACACTATCTGCCCGTCCCTGCTATGGTCGACCAACGTCGATCACACACTGAGGTTAGAAGTTGTGACTTGACGACTTGCAAGGAACGGTAATCGATAGGCTACCTCTCTCACTATTCGTTTCGAACGCCATGAGCTCGTGTTACTGTAACACAGGTTAGCACCAGCAATATGTCCTGCTCACATGCTTCTTCCGGTGCGAATGAAGGAACGGCGTCGAACGGAATCAGTGCCGAGCCCGGCACAAGATTCAAGAGCAGAACACTGTTCATCAGCTTGTCGAACGCCGGCGTTTCCTGGCCAGGCTTTTAGCTTGATAGCTTCGAAGTCGGCGTGGCAGCTGGTCTGGTGCACTTCGCTTTCGGCACTGCACTACCGCTGAGACTTCTGGAGACATCCCATGCAGGCCACAAGGGCCACAAACACATGCTTGCACATGCTTCGCCGCTTCGCCTCGGGCTCCGTCACGTAGTGCTTCAGCCTTACGAGGGGCGCTCTCCGAAAGTGTCAGAAAACTTGCCATAAGTCCTCCGAGCGGCATCGTGCCGAAAGGAGAACGGTTCTCCGGCTCCTCACGAGGGAGCTTCGGGCTTTCTGACGAACCCCAGTGCATGTATGAGTGACTGGCACCGAGAGGCTTACCTTCAGCGACTGCTCTCATTTGTCTGCTTCTGCCAACCCTCCCCTGGTTTTTTCGGGCATGGGTCAGCTACTCGCACTTCCATCTCCCATTGTTTATGCAACTGGCGCTGGATAGTTGCACATCTGTTAAGCAAACAGCTGCATGCAATCCTATGAAGCTGTCAGTGAGGTCTTCTTTGGCAGCATGCAGATGCAGCAATCCCATCATGTGCAGGCGCACAAGGCAGATGCGCAGACTGCAGAGTCGTTCAGATTCGCGATTTGAGTTTACACCATGTCTTCAAGGACTCGACTCGGCTGCAGTTGCTGAGGGTCGCCGATGTAAGTTAATGGCTCCAGTCGGCAACTCGACGTGAATGAATCTAACCGCAGAGTCGCAGAACACCACAGATACCTCACCTGCTGGCCGTGACTACCGAAAGGTCCCAAGTTGAGGCCGCAAGCCCTTTGCCCCCGAGCGAGTCCTGCGAAAGCAGCCTGACAGAGGCAATGGTTTTGACAGATATCAACACTCATGCATGCTGCATGCACCTAAGGACCTAAACCATCGAGTGAAGCCGAGTTGCACGTCGCTTTCCAAGAGGAGAGAGACTTTGCAGAAGTTGTCCTTGGATACCTTGGGCAAAGTCTCAACATGAGAGCAGTGGGGCCGGCGGCAAAGCATCAGAAAACCAACGCAGACACGTGATGTCTTGTTCGACAAGTGGCACCGCCAAACTCGTCGTACCTGGGAAATCAAATCTTGACAGACATGCCACGGCCTGTTACATTGCTGTTACATGCCATCACGGAATACGCAGGCAAGCAGTTAAGGATCACGAGGGGTTCCGACGATCTGAGGGAGACCAAGGCCATGGACAAACTCTCAATTGGGCTTCGGGAGGGGAAGGTATCATTGTGAGAAAGCTGCAGCTTCCACCTGAAAAGCCTTCCAAAAAAAGAACATGGCTGGTGGAAGTCCGAGGTCCTACACGTGGACATGCGAAGCATGTTTGCAACCACCTGTGAAAAGCCGGCCTTTCATTGCTTGAGTCGGTTTCGGCTCGGGCTGTCTGCAGTGGGAAAGGAATCCCATGAGTAGGCACGCCACATCTGACCTTTCGCTATAAGTGGAAACTTCGCGGGTCTGTGCAATCTGTGGACTTGACTTGGCGCTGCGAGCGCTGTGGCTGTACACATGGTGCGGAGATGCCACCCCTTTCCAAGTCAAAGTGAGGAGTGGCGGTGGTCCAGTGGCCCTGTTAGAGAACCATAAACAATTCACTTCATCTTGATGATATACCTCGAACTTCGGAGTCCCACCTGCTACAAAGGTCTGCAGTTTCAAGCCAAGCTGCAAGGTGCTCGCGAACTGCTTCGGCACAAACTGCATCGCAGGAGACCTGCAGAACGAGCAGAGGGTCGTTCCACACAAAGGCCTCGACATAGAAATCACTGTACGTGAGCCCAGGTCAATAGCAACCCGACGACGAAGCAGGGACATTCAATCCATGTTGAACCAAGCCTACGCCGCGTATGCAAAATGGCATATGCTGCTGTTTTGCAGGCAGACATGGACGCCTGCTGAACACATTGACAAACTCCAAGAACAGCTCCTGCAGGGTGGCTTCAATTCAAGCTTCGCGTCCAACAGAAGTACGTATCAACCAACCATCAGTGACCAGTGCGACTCATCGGAAATAAACCAGCCACACCCACCACGAGAACCCGGTAACCGTCTCTGACAAGGCCTCAGTTCTTCAGGACCCTCCGAGACAACAACCCATTCATTGAATCATCTTACCGGCACCTGTCTGAATCCCTGGCGTCCTTTGACAGGACCTCGCCGCCCTGCTCGGCCGCACCCGGACCGTCTACCGACCTGTCAAGATCTTTTCATCGGCTGAACCCGAAACGAAAACTCCGGACTGCCGGCTACAGACTGCATGCAGACAGGAAAGGCTGGAGCTAGCGGGCGCCCCTGAAACCAATGGCCCGGACCTCAATGTGTCAAAGGCGGCGAGGGTGCCTGCCATGTCAGGCAAACTTTCAGAGACCAGCTAGCGCATGTACAACACAGGGCACGCGACATGATGTTGCTCGCTTTAAAGGCAACCGAGAAGACTGCAGATTTGCAACTAGACTGCAGCACTGTGCGACCTTCAATCCGGGCAGCCTTGAACATGTTACGACCTGGCTAGATTGAGCTCTTTGAATCTTTCGGGCTGGATGCACATGATGGCGCTCGGCAGAGCTGCTTAGCAGGATCGGCCTGGAGCGGAAAAAGAAACTGAGTTGATCACAGCAAAATGTCCCTCTAATGTCCTGAGACAGCTGAAAGTCTGAGCGTTCCAGACTTTCACTGTTTCGTCCGCTGAAGCACTGGCTAAGAGCCGACCATCATCCGAGTAGCTGATGCCAAACACCTTCCCGGTATGGCCCAAAAGGCTTGCAACAACTTCGCCGGTCAAGGCATCCCAAACACAAGCGCGTCGATCTTCCAAAGCGGCCGCCAAGTGATTCTTGGATTCGGGGTTCCAGCAAACCGCAAACACTGCAGATGATGTCTCCAGTTTCTGCTGGACGCCACACGTCTTGCGAGTTTTCCAAATATAGATTTCACGACCACGTACGGCGATTGCCACATGAAGGCTGTCAGGGGACCAGGCTGCACAAGCCAGGGGCTTGTCCTGGCATTCAATGGTCTGTTGGCATGCCAGCTCAGCCGCATCCCAAACAATGGCCCTGCGATCATCTGAAGTTGTCAGTAGCCAGAGATCATCTGGCGAGAAGGCCGCCCACAGGACGTCTTTGCGGTGCCTTCGTAGGACTGAGAGGCACTCCCCAAAGCTCCCGGCACTCCAGAGCCGCACCGTTCGGTCCGAGGAGGCAGAGACAAGGCGGCTGCTATCCGCTGAGAAGTTCACACACTGCACGGCGCCTTTGTGACCCGTCAAGGTCAACCTCCACGAGAGGCTTTGAACACTCCAAAGCCTCACCGTGTAATCCGAGGAGGCCGTCGCTACGGACTCGCCGTCCGGCGACAAGGCCACCGACATCACAGAAAGGTCATGACCGATAAAGGACGTCAACCATTCACCCGTCGCAGCATCCCAAAGAGCGGCCGAGCCATCGGAACATGCTGTGGCCAGCATCTTCCGCGAAGACAGCACCACATTCACCTCTTCCGGAGCCGCGACATTCTCTAAGAGTTCTCCACCTCCGGGCTCAAAGAAGCTGAGGCCGCAGCCTGGAGCTGTCTCGACAGCAGCCTTCACTGCGGCCCGCAGGTGTGCCACAGTGGCAGGCGTGTCCAGGCAAACCTCTGCGTACACGTCGCCGCCGAGGGACCGGCACACCACACGTTGCGTTCCTGGCCTTCCCTCGGCTCCATTGCGGACCTCTCGCACAGGACTCCTCGACCTTGAGATTGCAGACGATCGCCTGCCTCGTGGCATCACCTGCTCCGTCTGCCGGGTTCATTGCGCATTGTTGCATCAGGTTTCATCTCAAACCCACCACGCTTCCCTGAGTTTGGGTTTCAACACGTAGTATATCCCGCCATCGCCCCTAGAGTCCCTAGCCCTAGAGCTTGAATCTACTTCGGACATCTCAATTTGGAAGGTTTCTAGTTGGTGACAGCCCGCACTCGGAGCCAGGAGCAGCCGTGGCATGACTGCGGCTGACTGCGTGGGAGGTTCAAGCACTGCGCAGGCTCTCAGGGTGGCACGCAGACTACACGCTCTTCATGTGCTGTCGAAAGGTTTCAAAATTTCAGAAGCACACGGTTTGGGGTTCCTGAACCTGCATGTCCTGACCTGCTGGCGGAGAGGTGCAAGAGCTGCAGCCTTCCGCACGCGTCTCCATCACGTGGTTCTTCGACTCCTTGGCCCCCCTGGCATCAGCTGGTGCTGGGCCGCTGGGCGCTGCTCCCGGGTCTGCAGTGTTCGGCACATTACGTGACGAAGAGTCATCTTTAGACTTCGACTGTTGATGACACCCTCCATGGTCTGACCTGATGTATGCCGAGACCAAGGTATCGAGAGTGAGGCTCTCGAAAAGAACCTGGCCAAGGTCATCACAAGTGGTTGGAAGAAAGAAATCTCATGAGGCTCAGCGTAGCAGAGCCCTGGGCCCTTGGACGATGGGACTGGTTTTGGGCTAGCCGGTTTCGGAATTGAAGCTTCCTGACTGGAAAGCAGCACCCATGCAACGCCCGCAGCAGATAGACATATACATATATACATGTATGTATATATATAAATATACACATACATATAGACTTCAAGGAGTGCAAGTCCCGGGCAAGTAGTCATGCGGCAGCGAGGCCCGGCACGCAGGCCCAGCAGATCAGCACCGAAGACACCCGAAGCACAGCAACGTCATTCTGCCTTGGCTAAGATCAGGAAAGCGAACCACAGAAGCCCAGCAGAGCGAAATGCGGTCATCGTTGGAAGAAACACCTTGGAAAACAGAGCGCAACAAGTGCTCGGATAGAATGCAATCCCAGGGGTGCTGCGAAAGGCTCGGAAGGCAAAAGACACGGCTGGCAAGGCTCCGCAAAACGCTTTCAGATGTCGGGGAGGGCCCTTCTGGAGTGTCTAGCTGCGCACACTATCCGATGCTGCCTCGCAACAGTGACTTCATTGCCAAAAATTATGAAGTCCATGGATGTAAGAAAAGCAGGTGTGAATGCCGTCCCTGACAAATCATGCTGAAATTTTGTGCCCCAACAGCAGCCAGGACACGTCCACATATTCGCCGGTCACGGCTGCTACGAACCTGGGAACTGGGAGCAAGAAACCTGAGGACTTGCCTATGCTCGGAAGTTTTTGAAGCCTGCGGGCTGACAGCGTGCATGCATCTAGATGTGTATGAAGGTTGGTGCACAATGAAAGCTAGACAATGTATGAATACGAGTAGACATATGGATACAGCGATGGGTACTGATGGAGGCATACATGGGTGGCTCCATATGCACATATGCGTGCACGCATGTATGTGTGCAACATATTTCTACATATACATATACATATACATATACATATACATATACATATATATATATATACATATATACATATACATATACATATACATATACATATACATATGCATACAGAAATGTACATATACATATACATACATTTACATGTGTGTATGGTGTGTGCATGTATGTGTGTGTGTGTGTGTATAGATGGATGGAAGGATGGATGCGTGCGTGTATGCGTATGATCATGTGTGTGTGTAGCCATGTACATCTGCACGTGTGCGGTAGTACGTTTGTGTATATGTAAATGTGGTGGTGTATGTGTATGAGCATGTGCATGTGGAGGCGCATGAGTGTGCGCGTGTGTGTGTGTGTGTGTGTTTGTGTACGTGTGTACGGTATGTGTATTGGCCTGCACATGTGCGTATAGGTCTGTGAATGTGCTGTGGATGTTTATGTGTATGTGTACAAGTGCAACTGTACAAGAGTGTGTGTGTGTGTGTATATGTGCATGTGCGTATGTACGTGTATATCCATACGTGTATGTATACGTATACATGTATACCTATTTAGATATAGATGCAGATGCCGACATACATAAAGGCATAGGGATCGAAATGTAGATGTAGTGGTGGCTATGGACACAGAATGACACAGATGTAGACATTGATACTGACTTTACATAAACGACGTCGTCACCTTTGAGCAGACAAAGTGAGGGGGCTACAGGCATGTCTACATTTGCCTAGCAAATCTTGCCGTGCACTCCTGTGTACATATTCTGATGTGCCTGCACATGTGTGCTTTTACACTGTAAGGTATTGTAAGGTCTTCGCACATCTGTGCGGTCTGTACGCATCCATACAGCGCTTCAAACGTGCACACACACACACACACACACACACACACCCGCACCCACTCACATCCACACACCCACTCACTTTCACTCACCCACCTACCCGCACACGCACGCACCCATGCACCCACGCACTCAAACTTACACGAAACAAGTCTTCCAACCAAGCATGACCGAGCACGAGCGCAAGGACGGGCTTGGTCGCTGGATTACTGGGCTGCCGGAAAGTTGCATGGCATAGAACGCGCTCGGGAGTGTGTCCAAGTCCTTGTTCACCAAGACCGGTTCACCGTCCTCGCCGCCATCTCCGAGGTGCTGAATCCCAGACTGTAAGCACATGTGCTCGGCAAAGGTTCGTGCAGATGTGTGGCAACTTGCAACTGAAGTGAGAGTGAGGTCAGAAGAGTACTGTGTGGTGGCGGGCCTCCACGTAGGAGACTTGGTTGCAGGATCCAAAAATGGTCAAGGAGATCCAGGCAAAGAACCTGCCGCCACCATTGCTCAGCACATGGCACTCGAGGACCTGGTAGCTCTCAGGCGCTGACAGCATGGTACCCCAAAGAAACACGGAGATGGACATGAACCTCGGTGTCGCAACAGACTCGTTGAACGGGACTGCTCGAGACTCTCAAGTAAGCCCAGGAGCTCTGTGAAAACTTTCAGGTTGAAGATGCTAGAGAAAAGTGACTGGACACCTGCAACAGCAGGCCGCTGGTTGCTGTGCTGGGTGCAATGGCCCACTTCAACATGTGCACCTGGGAGAAGAAACAGCAGGCCCGTCCTGTTCGTAGCTGCTGAGAGCACGGGAATGCAAACGTCAGCACTTCAAAATTGGTGAGAGGTTGACATCTGGACCTCTCATTAACCATCAGGTACAATGCTTGCAAGAATTTCAACAGGTTCGCGAGCCCGTTGAACCCGTCCTGAAAAGGAACGTCAATCCTGAGCTGCGGCTCGCACGCAAGGTCGCTTTCGACCACTCAGCGACACAAGCTAAAACAGCCACGCTGAAGTCCAATGCCTGACGCTCCACGGCACTCGCCCGCAGCCAGGTGCAAGCAGACAACCGCTGCAACTAATGCTCTAACTCTCAACGGCCGAGGCTCGTATAGGCACCGAAAAAACAGTGAACGCGGCCGTATCAACTATACCTGAATGGCGACAGCAAGGCGGGGGAAGCCAGGTGGGTAGCGACGAGACTCTGGGCTTGAACTGAGTTTGCATCTACCTGTCAAAGCCACGAATGCGTCGACCACGAATGAGCAACCTGCTATACATGCCAAAGTATCGAGCATGACAGGCTTGACAGATGTCTCAATTACACACCGCTGTTAGCGATCGGCGGCTCGAGGGCCACGTTCATACGCCCATTTGCGGCCCTGAGGCTACCAAGGGCCAGGGCAGAGCCCCAGAGGATAATGTTCGTGTTCAAGAAGTTCCCCTGAGTGACGCTATGTCTGACTGTCGAGCTGACCAGACACACTGAAGCTCCGCTAACTGAAGCCAGGTAGCTCCCACCGGGGCAAAGTGGCTCATTTCCAATTCGTAGTCCTCGGCGTCCATCCCAGCCCCGACAACTAGAATGGAACTGAGGGCTGGAGGTTGAAAACAACGATCAATCGGTGGAGCAGCGCTGCATCTGAAAAGCCAGGACAGGTGTACCAAGCCAGCGCGGAAGCAAATACAGACTTGTAGAACTGGTGAAGGAACGTGAAATGCATGATGCTGTGTATATGTCTCGTTGTGCAAGTGTGAATTTTCGAGAGAGAGAGAGAGAGAGAGAGAGAGAGAGAGAGAGAGGGAGAGACACAGAGATGGTGCAGATGACAGGTAGTGGAAGCGACACCGAATGAGATACATCGTTCGTCTCCTTGGGATGGTCCGAGACACCTAGTACCCCAGAACAAGAGCTGGTGAGCATAACAAGAAAGCCAATTCAGCACATGTCTTTACTTCTGTGGCAGAAATGTCAACACGAGTGCCCAAAAGATGTTCGTGCTACAAGTAGGAAGGGCCAACTTCCTCTCGGTGTCCTGCAGTCCTCCCGAGACTAGTTTCTGCCAACTATCATCAACAAACACAGTGTTTCATCCACTGGTGAGGACTTGCTTGAGCAGCTCTTTCAAGCTGCCGCGGTGCTGCAATACGAAGTGCGAAAGGCGTTTTCCAGAAGTTGCCTGCGGCACGTCAGTCCGCTTAAGCACAGGCACCCCACAGGTGTGAGACCTGAAGTTGCAGCGACAATGTCACAGAAAAGCTGGAGAGGAGACAGGAAAAGAGGTAGTGTCTTCAAGGCAAATATCACTGAAAGTCCTGTCCAGGATGAGGCAATGTCCCAGCAATGTGGGTCGAGGTATCCATGATCATGGGCTAGTCTGGAGTTACCCTCCATCTGAATGGGAAAGCAAACATGTCCCTCAACAGCTTAAAACAATCAGAACTCGAAGCAATGCCGCCCAGAACTAAACCAGCGCAAACCTCGCCAGAATGGCTGCCGTTACTAAAATTCCGTTGCCGCTGAAACAGCTATGTGGCATGCTGTCATTGCGAATTCGACGAAGTCGGCGATGCGGCAGGTGTTTACGGAGGGGAGATGGTGAATCGGCTGAATCATATCGCAAATGAACTAGGGAAGTGTAACCACAAATTGAGACGCCCTGGTTGCAGACAGGACGCCGGCTGCTTCAGCTTGCGGCCGAGCAGCCCACATGAACTTTCGAAGGACGATGATCTCAATACATATCTCAACGATCAAAGCATAGCCTTGGCTAAGCTGTACAGCCTGGTGGCTGCCTCACGGAAGCCGACACTGTGCGCTGATTGAAGAGCTTCCAGCAGCACCAATCCGGCAACCGAGCAACCTGGTGGCAAATACCAAACACCTGAAAGAAACGGATCGCCTGCCAGCAGCGGCAAGTTGTGACTGCAACATGCCTGCTCTGTTCGGCAAGACGGAGGCAATTCCCACGGTGGGTGTCTCTCGAAGCAGTCTGCCGCTACAGCGGCCACACTTAAGCAAGCCCATGTGCCCAGTGCAAAAGTCAATGGCGGCCGAATACTTGAAGTATCCCAAATCGAGGAGCCCATGTCTCTGTATGTATACCTATATACTACCTAACTACCGGCCTACCTACATACCTACCTACCTACACAACTACATACCTGCCTGCATGCCTGCGCACCTACACACATACATACATACCTACCTACATACATACACACATCCATCCATCCATCCCTCCATCCCTCCCTCCCTCCATCCATCCATCCATCCATGCATCCATCCATCTCTCCATCCCTCAATCCCTCCATCCCTCCGTCCCTTCCCTCCATCCCTCCGTCCCTCCATCCCTCCATCCCTCCATCCCTCCATCCGTCCATCCGTCCATCCGTCCATCCATCCATGCACTCGCCCATCCATCCATCCATCCATCCATCCGTCCGTCCGTCCGTCCGTCCATCCATCCATCCATCCATCCATCCCGCCGTCCATCCATGTATCCATGCAGCCAGCTATCCAGCCAGCCATCCACACATCCACCCACCCACCCACCCAGCCAGCCAGCCAGCCATTCACCCATCCATCCGTGCATACACTGCATACACATACAGACATTGACTTAGATATAGACATAGACATCGATACAGACATAGGTACAGATGTAGATACAGATATGCACTCGGTGTAAGTATAGATTCTGTATAGGCTCATTCTATACTATACATACAAGCACATGCGAGTGTATTTATGTGTTTGCGTGCAGTCCATCCATGACTCCTTCTTGCCCTGCATGCATTCATAACTAGCTGCCTTTGCACACTTCCCTTCGCACCTACCTACCTCCATGAATGCCTTTGATCCCTTCCGGCCTCCGTGTGCAGGTATGCATATCTCCTGAGCGCAAGGAAGAGCATCACTACATAAGAAGCCAGACCACCGACTGCAGCAGTACAAGCCGTACTGAGAGTACTCTCGTTCTGCACTGTCGCTGCTGCTGCTGCTGCTGCTGCTGCTGCCACCGCTGCTGCTGCTGCTGCTGTCAACAACACAATGGTCACCTACAAAGCCATCGGCCATCATCATCGCCGTCATCACCATATCCATCACCATCATTAGCAGCAGCATCTTGAGAGTGAAGAAGCTCTTCTTACCACAAGCATCCCGATTCTTCGAGGCACCATTGGTCCAACAGCTGAGCTGGCGACATTGCCGGGGTACCATGTCCACATGTGATCCTGACAGGCTGGCAGGCTTGTGATGTGCTGCGCTCTTTTCAAGGGCCTTTGTGTTGAATCGTTGAATCAACCGAAAGTATGCCAAGCCACGGAGAGAGGGAGAGAGGCAGAGCGACAGGAAGAGACAAAACAGAGAGAGAGAGGGAGAAATGGAGGGGACTGCATTCTTGCAGACTCGGCTTTGACCAGCTAGAGTATCTAGGAATGGGGGGAGGGGCGGGCAGTTGAGTCAAGTTAGTCCGGACAAGGTCGATGCCAAGACCGACTCGTAAACCCGTTGGACAAACAGCCTGGGACCGCTCTTGCAGTTGCAGATTTGGAGCTGCGAATTGTCCGTAACAACCCCTTCAACCCATCAAGTGCCATCCAACAACCACGAATACAAAACACACAGCAAACCTGCAGCAGTGCACCTTGTCCTGCGTCTTGTGGCACCACGCGGGCACCTGTCTCGTCCGCGAAAGTGATTTACATCTTCATCCAGGGATTTCCCTGGAAGATCGAATTGCAAGGCACAAGGGCTTTGAGCGGAAGAGGCCTCGAAGAGGGTGAGGAGCACCAGCGCTACAAGCCTCCAACATTGCAAAACATGCGTGTAGGAGGCCGAGGCTCAGCGTGGCCTAGGTCCAAGTCCAAACTCTAAGGCTCCAACGCACGATGATACCTGGCTGCAAAACGAGGAGAGATGGCAGTGACCTTGACCTCGCCTTCGTGACTGCAAGCGCAGGCCAAGGCACCATTTGTTAAAGCGCATGCAGTCATAGTGCACGAGGCGAGCAGCCTGGATGTCCTTTCAGCCAAGCAAGACAGGCGCTGACGAGACTCGGAGGAGGACGGCGTGCCCAAGAGCTAGCTTCTGGCTCCTACACCTCTGCAGCCGATCTCAGGTATGGTCCTTCGGATAAACTGGGACAGACTTTCCCAGGATCGCGTTCTCCAGCTGCCAGGCGGCCTCCCAAGGCTCACATCGCATCTCCGCTTTGGTGAAGCTCAGTGCGCTGAAAACTCTCTGGGTGCTCTGCCCAGACTTCCTACACGACAAGTCGCACCTTGACAACAGTGGCCTTCCGGCTCCGGGAAGGTTCTGCTAGCAGCGGAACTGTCGACCTCAGCCGCAAGCAGCCTGCGCAAAGCCCTCATGGGCATGAGCGGATGTGATCTCACTTCTTGAGACTTCATGCGCAGACACATGGCCACCGAGTTTCCGACGCCATGGCACCCTTAGCAGTCAATGTGAGGGATTCAAAGTGGTCAAGGAAACCCTCTTCGTACTGATCTCGACCGACACCGAGCAAGGCCGAACAATCGAAGCTCCATCCCCACTTTCCTTGCATCGGCCAGAAGTTCAGGCAAGGCGCAGGGTCTCGGTACTGCGTGCACCACAGACTGGGAGCCCCGTGGCGACAGGAAAGCCCGCTCGTGCTGTCGGCCCGTCTTGCAAAATGGTCGTGGCACAGGGGCGCTCGACGCTCGAGACATGGTTTGCTTTTTTTTCGATCGATGCAAACACGCTCCCACCGGCAGGTGCTCGAGCGCAAAGACGCTGGAACGACGTCGAGGCATTTTGCCAACGCATGGAACCACGACTCCTGGGAGCCCAAGCTGCAGAAACAGCTCATCGGAAAGCTCGCAGCTTCAACACACTATGCGCGATGTCACTTTCAACTGCAGCATCGCTTCCAGGCATCGATTCCTACACAACATCAAGCGGCTCTTGGCATGCACACAACCCGTAGAAACAAAGAGCCTACACGGCAGGGAGCTGAAAGGACATCCTGAGCCTGCTCGAAACTGACGTACAGTCTGAGAGACGCGGAACAGCGGAAAGACGCTATCAGTTCACAAACGCAAATTGCCAAACCTAAGCTGAACTTGAACATACGAAGGTGCGAGTTCAGCTTGCCGCTGCTGCGCGTCCCAGACGGCTATTTTCATTGACGTGGACTCAGCACTGCATTTGGAATGGACGGTGAAACCCCAGACTTGCCAGGCCCTCAGTGCACCTCCTGGAAGATATGACAAGACGCCGCCTTCTCACAAGGCAGCAGCTTCTGCTGCAGAGGATCGGTCTTGCTAAGAGGCAGAAAGAACACTCTTTTAGATGTCTCCATTTCGCGCGGAAGCACATTCGACCTGCACAGCCGTTCACTCGGGCATCCTTACTCCCGTAAATTTGGCCGGGCCTAACCGCGATTGCCAACTCGTTCTTGCAGTCGCTGAATTAACTGGCTGAACCTGGGCACGAGGTGAGACATGCGTGCAACTTTGCCGTTGACAGTCACTAGTGCAGTTCTGCACCATGCGCATCAGTCTTCGAAGCCGACCCACGCGGTAGTGCGTGACATGAACTGTGCAACGCTCACCAGCGGCTGTGGCACCATGCGGCACCTGAAAGCCCTTGACATATCCTGACAGTCTCTGAGGTCACTGAGAGCCCGTGCCGGGCATCTGCGTACTCACGCCGCTTGGTCTCGTTGTCGCGCTGATCCTGCTCTAGCGTTCAAAGGACTTACTCGTGGAGGGAAGTCGGACTTCGGCAGTAAGAAGTCAGGTATCGATTCAATCAATCCCGTAGGAAAAGCCTCCCCGTAATGCAATCCCAGCCGCTGCAGTACAAGTAGCTATTGAGGCAACGAATGCAGTGATGCTCAAGCCAGGCTTGGCCTGAACTTCCTTCAACTCGGCTCGCATCTTCTCCAGCTCCTGCTACGACATACTTCAAAGCGTTTCTACAGGGGGTGCTATAAGCATATAAGGGGCTACCACAGGGGGGCTTTAGGAGTGTCTTTAGGGGTTACTAAGGTCAGCGGTGCCATCGGCACGCTGAAACAGAATCGTGCGGGGTCGTTTGGGGCCTCTGGGCAATTGCTTAGGTTGAACCGACACTGAGGAGCATTTAAGCAACAGCAAAGACTGCACGAGACACCCATCATCTCTTGTGCCAGTTACAGCTCCCAAACGTCCGGGCGCCTAAGCCCGAAACGACCCTCCAACCCGACGAATCCTCAAACCCCAACACCCCCTCACCCCCTTAGACCCTAAACCTGACGATTGCTCTGAGTCGGATGAGCCTCCGCCAGCGCCTGCTGTCTTTGCTCCGCCTGCTGTGCGCGCTGTGCTGCCTCCCCGTGAGCAGCTCGGGCTCGGATGTTGAGGGCTTTCGGATTCGGATTCCTTGCATCCAGTAGCCCACTATCTCCATGCTCAGATGATCGACTTCGACGTCGACATGCTGTCAGACAGTGATGTGCAAGTCCTTTTTCAGTTGAAGGAGCTCTCCGACCAGTGATCCTAATGTCATCGCGGTTATAGACCTCGTACTGCCATTCCAAAGCTCGAGAAGTCTCATCTGTCCAGCTCATTAAGTTAGACAATGCTGAATTCAAGGTACTAGTACCAGTTCCTTAGTGTGGGCCAGAGGGCTCGAACGTGCTGCTCATGTTGTGAACGCCCTCCGTTACCAGCATATCAGTATACTAGTATATGTTTGTTGGTAAACTACCGTAAGATCAGATAAAAGTGACCTGTAGAAAGTAGGTCGTTTACACCGGAGTATCGCGCCGACGTTTTCAATCTCCTTGCGCCTTAAACTTTTGGGAATCGGAAGGCTGTGCAAATTTCCTGTGTCGACACGTGCCGTGCGATTCTTCGAAATTGTTCACGGCCGCAAGCAGAAGCTAGCAAGAAGGTGCCGCATCTTGTGAACATCCCGCGTGAGTTGGTCCACTGTTGAAAATCACAGTCCCGTCTCTGCCGAAGCTCTGAAGCTGAAAGCCTGAGAGTGCCTGAGACCTTGGGACCCTCTGCACCTCCACTGCGGCATCAGACACCTGCGTGGATCGCGGCAGTCACATCTGGAGGGTCTCCTTCTTTAGGCTTGGAGATTCAAGCTCTCTCCAATCCTGGCGGTCCGGCACAGAGTCTTTTTCGGACAGGGCAACTTTGGCAGTTCGATGGATATGGAATTGGGTCGGGATCAGCCCTGTCAGCACTCTCGTGTACAAACAGGCACAGACTCTTTGAGATGAGGAATCAACAGTCACCAGGCAGGGCCCACGCTCTGCAGCAGTCATAGGCTGGTTCCCGCATTGAATACACAGCCCGGTGTCATCGCCCGAGCCGACTAGATCCAGACAGAGAGCACCCGAGATTTACACAGACACCTTCCCTTGATGAAATCTGAAACCGGTAAGCCTTGTTTATGTCTCAATCACTAGCTGGAACAGTGATTAAGAAAAGCAGCTAAGCGCAGACCCACGAAGTCTCGTAAGCTGAGTTTATGCTGCAATCCAAACAAATGCTCTCCTTCAAGGAAGTGCAAATACACCGAAAACATTCCTTCCTGCAAGCTGCGACTGCAACTGGATGACGGGTATGTGTCACAAGTTCACAATGCCTATGTGTCTACTGCTGCTTCTGTACACGTGCGGGTTGACGATTCCATCCAGTGCCGGAGAAATTGCCGCAGTCAGTGAAACTTAGCAGACTTAGCACATGCGTCATGTTGCGACGGAGCGTGCATGTCTCGGGTATGACGGTATGACATTATACTGCAAAACCAGGATAGCATCGCCTCAGAGACCAGACGCTCCTGCTCAAGGCCAGCTTTGAAGCTTCTGGCCAAGTGCAAAAAGGGCATGCCTAGCCCGAAGAGATCATGTTGCCTACCTCGACGCAAAAAGCTCCAATGAAAACCTTGTGTGAAACTCCCGGCTTGTTGAAGCCTATTGCCGCAAATTGTGGAGCTCTCAGCGGCATGAATCTCTCCCTCCAAGCTTGCCAAGCCAGTTGACTCGAATTCCACTCTGCTTGATAAGCCCGGCAAGCACGGAGGACACTAGCTGGATATCCACCTGCTATTTGCAAGGGCTCCATCTTTCATCTTGCGTCTCTTGACTCGGATCCGGCACAGACGACTGACAACATACAAGGAGCTTGAAAAAGTCACACGCCGAGTAGTCGACATGCAACGGTACCGCTTAGCACGCTTGACACACTGACCCGCCTTGTCAATTGCCGGAAATGTGAAAGCTGCAACAGAGGTCTTCTTAAGACAAAAAGCTCAGTGCTTCCCAGGATATGTGCATCAATACGACATAGACCACGGTTGCTTGCTCCGCTCAGTCCCTTTTGCCCTCTTGCTCAATTGATGCCTGGGTCGGCACATGCAGGCTTGCGTTTGCTCAATGGCACAAGAACACAATCAGGATCGGAAGCATGAACCTCTATTGTACGCACAGTCTTGCAGAACACTCACACCGCGAGCAACCAATGAACCGAAAAGACAAGTGCGTTTGACTCGGAGCGGGTCTTCCTGAATCCATCCAGGAAGTGACCCAAGACGTCCTCGCGCCTTTGAGGTCCTGCAAGAAGCAAAAGTTTGAGGCGAGTACTTGCCTTACACCTGCGAGTCGAAGTCTGCGTAGCTGTTGCGAGCTGTACAAGGCGAAGTTTGTGCATCCGGCCTGCTTTCTTGCTCAGGCCGGACCAGCCTCCCTCTTCACGTAGATAGTCAAGACCTGACACTGTGGTTGGCTCAGAGCTCGAGCTGAGACTCTAATCTCTCTCATCTCAGACGCCTGGGCTATCCGATATCCTCCGAAGTCACTCCTGGATGGGATTGTCCGAACAGCGACTTTGCCTTCGGCTTCTTGCACTCGTCCACGAGCTGCAGGACGTCACCACGCAAACCGTTGACTTCCACGATGCGGTCCTTGGGCCTCAATGCCTGCCAAGAGGGATTGCACAGCTGCGATTTCTATTGAGGCCCCTGCCCCTGACACCCTCTTCGAGTCGGAAGGCGGAACTAACCACAGTAGACGGCTGAATAATGGGCATCGGCCCTGGTGCCTTCTCCGGGTGCTCCATGTTCCACTGCTCGATGAGGCCACCGGTGATAGCATCAACAGCCAGCGTACGGCCGTCCTGGTCACGGCACAAATGTTTGAGGGCAACTGCCACACCACTCTGCCCAGACTCCACAATCCAGAAAGCTAGACTTCCCTCAATGATGTGTGATCAGCACAGAAAGCAGGTCTCTCAGCATCTTTTTAGCAGAGAACTCGTTCAGTGATCTGGGCGAAGCAGCCTAACGCAGCACAATACTCCTTCACAGTGCAGCATGTACCACCTGTTCCAAACTAAGCACAGCGATCATTTTACAGGGAGCTCTCAGAGACATAGATGAAGTTGACACCATCGTGTCTAGCGGAGCCTAGTGTCTTGCCCAGGCGACAAACTCTGGCGATTCTGACGAGATGCACTTCTCTTTACCACATTCTCCGGTCCTCGTGATCAACGTCCATGCCCAAACGCTGCCCATTGGTTTTGTCCTGGGCACCACTGACAGCCTCAACCTACCTCCACATCCATCATGCTCAAAGCCACTACCAAAGATCAAACATTGCAGGGCACAGCTACAACCAATTGCCAGGGCCCTGGCCAAGACGATGATGAACTCTCCCTCCTAAGACACGCCGCGGGAGGAGCTACACAATGCGTCGAACAGGGAGCGAGAGAGAGAGAGAGAGAGAGAGAAGACGGTAGGTTGCAGGCACGAGGTTGAGCCGCGACTGCTTCCTGTGCCAGAGACGGAACACACTTCAGCTCCCCAAATCCGGTCTTGGGCGGGCTTTTTCTTGGCCTCCACGACTGGGGTTTCCGGAGCGGTTGTTGGCGCTTCCTGACCGTGCCAGAGCAGACTCCGAAGTCGTAATCGCAACGCCCCCAGCTCTAAATGATCCGTCTCCCTTTAGAATATCATGTCTCCACAGACCTTCTGCTCCGGCAAGTCGGTGTTGCTGGACTCGTCCTGTCCCACTTTCAGCATTTCGCTGCTGCATTTGGGCTGAACGGATCATACGCGAAGATTAAGCAACCTGAATCAGCAAACAAACAGATTGGAACCTACATTTGCCGCAACTATGCAAAAATGATGCGTGCTCTAAGCCTTAGCTAACAACATGGATCTAACAACATCAAAAAGTCAAGTCTGCCACCGCCGCTTCTACCCACATGTCTCTGAAGACTGCAGAATGCTTTCTCGCATGCCGAGCCTTGGAGCAGCAAGTGGCGTTGCCCATGTTGCCTAGGGACCATGTTGGTGAGGAGAAGCAAAGCACAAACACGCCCAACCTACCAAATGAAGCATCCGAGAACAAACGCGAACGATGCAGGTAAACGGGTAAACGAAGGGCAGGCCAACGGGACAGACCTTTCTTTCAAGATCATTTGCTTCCGAAGCAACGAAACCCAATCCAAACTGCAGAAACCTCTTAACCCCAGCACCCGGGCCTGCAGATGCTTCGACCTCGAAGATGCTTAGCACACGGTTATACCGAGAGCGGAAGGCTGAGCCAAGAAGGAGCGCGCGGGTCAGCTTCGTCTGAAGCTATCTGCACAAAGGCTATGACCAGGCACAAAACCAAAGGAGGGTTCAGAAAGTTTAGTTCAGCTTCCAGCATTCGTCATTGATCAGACCGACGCCCCTGATCGTAGGAGAACTGTAGACTTCGCAGATTTACCAGCCCGAGCCCGCCCGTCAAGTAGCAAAGAGCTTCAGCTTAGACTGCGAAGCCTTGACCTGGAGAAGCCGACCCCTGGCTGACTGGCAAAGAGCATGCTCAGTGGCTCAGTCCAGGACAGTACGGCTGATGACATAAATCCTGCATTGCCTCAATTTCCTGATTATGGGTAATGCAGGATCTATATCATCAACAATAGGGCTACGATGAGAAGGCCTGGCAATAGACCCCTTCCCACCTCCTGCAGCTCTCCGAATCTATCATCTGCATCTCGGGTGGCGCGGGCATTCTTGGCCTGACGGCAGTCGGACAGTGTCCGCGTCATGTTTTCGATATCAACGAGAGTACACAACTATACCAGCAGCAACTGCTTGCTCATAGAAGTTTACACTCTGTACGGCCTGGGCCATCATCAGTGACTCCTCCAGATCTGACGCTTCCTCCTGGGCAGCGCCCGAAGCAGATCGAATATGAATCACACCTTCTCTCCAATCTTCAGCTAGGGGCCTTAGAAGGGCCTCAGGAGGGCGTGTCGATGTGTCCCAGCCTCAGTCAGCTCTCCGGCGAAGCGCTCGGCCTCGAAGGAAGTCTTCTGGGTTTGGGATTGGCTTGGGAGCTGTTTTTCAAAGAGGTATTCCATGAGCTCTACTTCATGCAGAGTCCGGCAAGGCCTGCGAGTTGAGGCCTCCCATGATCGCTGTGGATTTCGATTGCACCTGGCAGCTGGCATCCCACGACTTTGCCAAAGAGCGCGACTTAGCATCTTTCCTGGGCCTCCTTCACGGTTTTCTAGTTCTTCCGCCCCGAATCACCCTGCCTCCTGGGCCATGAGGAGAGACCTTTCCATCTCCTGCTGCATTGCCAGGTCCATGTGTTGAACGGCTCGCATGATGTGTTCGGTACTGGTGGACAGGCCTCCCGCTCGTCCGCCAGCTTTAAAACCTCTGCTTGCGCCTCCTGCCTGCAGGGATGTCGAGGAATGCTCTCAAAAGCTCTTCGGACGCCAAGGAGGGGGTCCCAGGCCTCAACCTGGCTTCTTCCTGCAACGTCTGGTCCTTCTTCTCAAGCTCTGCTTCGGTTTTTTCGAGCTCCTCTCCGGTGATTCAGCTCCGGCCATGTTCACGAGGCACACACGACATCTCGGAAGTCACACCCGAAGCTCACCTGAAGACCTAGCTTGGACGCCAAAACTTCATCAAGCTCTGCGCTTCGCGAGCCTCTTCAAGCTCATTGATGTACCTCCACACGCAGGCTCCAGAAGCGTGTCGATTGCACTTAGCGTCCTACACTTGTCACGCCGAACAGCAGACGCATCTACGGAGGCAGCAACACGAACAACAGGTTCATAGAGGGATAGAGAGGGAAAGTGACTTCAGCCTGACGGGACAGCCGCTCGCCTTTCGAAGCTCTTGATCACGGCAGTGTACTTCTGGACCTTGTCATTCACAATGGCCTGAATCTGCTCCACTGTGGCGATGTATTGGTTGTCACCTGATAGGGCGTCCGTTGCGGGTGCGTTGCGCGTGGCTGAAGCGCCAAGACAGTGCTCAACGGTGCTGAAGTCGTCCCTCTGCCCAAGGATCCAGCCCACGGGCTGCAGGGCACCGACATCAAGTCCCGACACAACCTGGCCCACCTGGCGCAAAAACTTCTGCAGGTTTACAACTCCGTAGAAGGACAGCTTCGGCCAGGCCTCCATACTTCCGGTCGCCAAGGCCTGTGAGGCGAATAGCTTCGTAAATCCGTGCAGAAGCTGCACCGGGGCCTGCGAGGTGGCGGCGGCCGGTGGCGTCTCCTGTTGCGCCTGTGCGTTCAAGTTGGAGATCTCACCAACTCTGAAAAGGTTTGAGACATCCATGCCGCTTTCAATCTTTCAATTCTCTTGGCATGCAGCAAATCTTGCATTTAGACAGCTTGTGGTGTCGTCCCCTTCTCCCACTCAAAGCTTCTTTGTCTACGGAAGGGCATCGAAGCCTGCTCTCGTCTCAGGATCTGGTCATCATCCTCGCCTCAGACAATCATCCCGGAGCAGGCCCAGCTGAACCCACAGCAGGGTACCGCAGGGCGAGCATCATCAGCATCAGCTGGAAACCCTTTCAAACACTCTCCCATTTCCGGGCCTCTGAACCCACAGCAGGGTGGCAGTTGGAACCTGTATTGGACGGCTTCCACACACCGCAGGGCGAGCATCATCAGCATCAGCTGGAAACCCTTTCAAACTCACTCTCCCATTTTCAACCCTCTGAACCCACAGCAGGGTGGCAGTTGGAACCTGTATTGGACGGCTTCCACACACCGCAGGGCGAGCATCATCAGCATCAGCTGGAAACCCTTTCAAACTCACTCTCCCATTTTCAACCCTCTGAACCCACAGCAGGGTGGCAGTTGGAACCTGTATTGGACGGCTTCCACACACCGCAGGGCGAGCATCATCAGCATCAGCTGGAAACCCTTTCAAACTCACTCTCCCATTTTCAACCCTCTGAACCCACAGCAGGGTGGCAGTTGGAACCTGTATTGGACGGCTTCCACACACCGCAGGGCGAGCATCATCAGCATCAGCTGGAAACCCTTTCAAACTCACTCTCCCATTTTCAACCCTCTGAACCCACAGCAGGGTGGCAGTTGGAACCTGTATTGGACGGCTTCCACGCACCGCAGGGCGAGCATCATCAGCATCAGCTGGAAACCCTTTCAAACACTCTCCCATTTCCGGGCCTCATCAGCACAGCCAAACACTCTCCCAGGGCCTCTGAACCCACAGCAGGGTGGCAGTTGGAACCTGTATTGGACGGCTTCCACGCACCGCAGGGCGAGCATCATCAGCATCAGCTGGAAACCCTTTCAAACACTCTCCCATTTCCGGGCCTCTGAACCCACAGCACACAGCAGGGTGGCAGTTGAAACCTGTATTGGATGGCTTCCACGCACCGCAGGGCGAGCATCATCAGCATCAGCTGGAAACCCTTTCCAAAATTCTGCCATTTCTGGGCCTCTGAACCCACAGCAGGGTGGCAGTTGGAACCTGTATTGGACGGCTTCCACGCACTGCAGGGCGAGCATCGTCAGCACAGCTGAACACCCTTTCAAACTCACTCTCCCACTTCCGGGCCTCTGAACCCACAGCAGGGTTGGAACCTGTATTGCACAGCTTCCACGCACCGCAGGGCGAGCATCATCAGCACAGCTGAATATCCTTTCAAACTCACTCTCCCATTTCCGGGCCTCTGAACCCACAGCAGGGTGGCAGTTGGAACCTGTATTGGACGGCTTCCACGCACCGCAGGGCGAGCATCATCAGCATCAGCTGGAAACCCTTTCAAACACTCTCCCCTCTGAACCCATGGCAGGGTGGCAGCTGGAACCTGTATTGGATGGCTTCCACGCACCGCAGGGCGAGCATCATCAGCACAGCTGCAAACTCACTCTCCCATTTCCGGGCCTCTGAACCCACACCAGGGTGGCAGTTGGAACCTGTATTGGACGGCTTCCACGCACCGCAGGGCGATCATCATCAGCATCAGCTGGAAACCCTTTCAAACACTCTCCCATTTCCGGGCCTCTGAACCCACAGCACACAGCAGGGTGGCAGTTGGAACCTGTATTGGACGGCTTCCACGCACCAGGACGAGCATCATCAGCATCAGCTGAAAACCCTTTCAAACTCACTCTCCCATTTTCAACCCTCTGAACCCACAGCAGGGTGGCAGTTGGAACCTGTTATTATTCCACGCGGCGCAGGGCGAGCATCATCAGCATCAGCTGGAAACCCTTCCAAGCTCACGCACCCATTTTTGGACGGCTTCCACGCACCGCAGGGCGAGCATCATCAGCATCAGCTGGAAACCCTTTCAAACTCACTCTCCCATTTCCGGGCCTCTTGAAAACCCTTTCAAGCACACTTTCCCATTTGCGGGCCTCTGCACCCACAGCAGGGTGCCATTTGAAACCTGTTGAGGGACAGCTTCCACGCAACGCAGGGCGAGCATCATCAGCATCAGCTGAAGACCCTTTCGAACTCACTCTCCCATTTCCGGGCCTTTGAACCCACAGCAGGGTGGCAGTTGGAACCTGTTATTGGACGGCTTCCACGCGCCACATGGCGAGCATCATCAGCATCAGCTGGAAACCCTTTCAAGCTCACTCACCCATTTCCGGGCCTCTGAACCCACAGCGTGGCAATTGGAACCTGTTATTGGACGGCTTGGGCACGCCGAAGGGCGAGCATCATCAGCATCAGCTGGAAACCCTTTCAAATTCACTCTCCCATTTCCGGGCCTTTGAACCCACAGCAGGGTGGCAGTTCGAACCTGTTATTGGACGGCTTCCACACGCCGCAGGGCGAGCATCATCAGCATCAGCTGGAAACCCTTTCAAAAACTCTCCCATGTCCGGGTGTCTGAACCCACAGCAGGGTGGCAGTTGGAACCTGTTATTAGACGGCTTCCACGCGGTGCGGCGCGAACATCATCAGCATCAGTTGGAAACCCTTTCGAACTCACTCTCCCATTTCCGGGCCTCTGACCCCACAGCGAGGTGGCACTTGGAACCTGCTATTGGACGGCTTCCGCGCGGCGCAGCGCGAACATCATCAGCATCAGTTGGAAACCCTTTCGAATTCACTCTCCCATTTTCGGGCCTCTGAAGGGTGGCAGTTGGAACCTGAATTGGACGGCTTCCATGCACCGCAGGGCGAGCATCATCAGCATCAGCTGAAAACCCTTTCGAACTCACTCTCCCATTTCCGGGCCTCTGTGGCACTTGGAACCTGTTATTGAATGGATTTCACGCACCGCCGGGCGAGCATCATCAGCATCAGCTGAAAACCCTTTCGAACTCACTCTCCCATTTCCGGGCCTCTGTGGCACTTGGAACCTGTTATTGAATGGATTTCACGCACCGCCGGGCGAGCATCATCAGCATCAGCTGAAAACCCTTTCGAACTCACTCTCCCATTTCCGGGCCTCTGTGGCACTTGGAACCTGTTATTGAATGGATTTCACGCACCGCCGGGCGAGCATCATCAGCATCAGCTGAAAACCCTTTCGAACTCACTCTCCCATTTCCGGGCCTCTGTGGCAGTTGGAACCTGTTATTGGACGGATTCCACGCACTGCAGGGGGGGCATCATCAGCAGCTGGAAACCCTTTCAAACTCACTCTCGCATTTCCGGGCATTCGAACCCGCATGGCCGTTGGAACCTGTATTGGACGGCAGTTGGAACCTGTTATTGGACGGGTTCCACGCGGCGCAGGGCGAGCATCATCAGCATCAGCTGGAAACGCTTTCAGACTGCCTCTCCCTTTTCAGGCCTCTGAACCCACAGCAGAGCAGCACTTCGACCTCGCTTACTGACTTATTGGACGGATTCCTGAGGCACTAGCCTGGCAAGATCCTGGCCTTCAGCCCGAACCCCGGAAAGGCTCCACCCTGAAAACCCAAACGCCTAAACCTCAGCCCTTTAAACCCTGAAACAGACAGGGTCTGAGTATGCACAGCTACACCATGTTATAGCATCATGTGTATACCCTTTGCCTGTGCAAGCGAGGGGCCTTCCTCTGGCAGCATCTTGACCAACCTCGGAAAGTCGACTGCCCACAAACCCTTCTGAACCCGCCATGCAACCGACTTACGTAGCTCACCCGACTGTCTGCGGAAGCCCTCAGATAAGGCCCTCAGAATAGGTGCGACATGTGGAAAAGCCTGGTGAACGGAGAAGCTCCCCACCTGCCGCTCTTAAAGAAGGACCCGAAACGCCTATTGAGAGGATTGGCTCATCCATGTCATCAGCCAGCTGGTGCAGCAGCTCCTGCGACTTTTCCAGCTCGGGACTTCCTGCATCACAGGAATCAGAGTCTGAGGAAACAGTTCTAAAAAATATCGGCGAACTATGAAGCCCGGAAGCTTGCAGGCTTCACGAGGCTGTCACTTGAAACTGCATCCACTTGCACCTCGTCGTGAAACATCCCGAGGCACTCGGATGCGATCCGGCACCAGGAAGGCCACCTGAGTTTACCGTGGAACTACGTTCCCCGGTTGGCTGTGGCACTGTGCTGTGCGGCCCACCTTCGCGATTGCGAGGATCCCGACTACAGCAAGGGCTTGGGGTCTCCGGCGAGCCATGGCCATTGCAAGCAGAGGGGAGAACACTAGCACTTACAAAAGGTACTTCGACAACATGTGCCTCGGGGTTTGGCAAGGTTCCACGTCCGCACGCGAATCATGCCCACTATGGTGGCCCGAAAAGCTTCATATACAATGATGTCAGTTGTCTCGTGGCTGTCGCACTCGTCTCAGGATTGGCTCAAGCCATCAAAGCCGAAACTCCGGTGACGAAACTTCGAAACGAGATACCGGGATTGGAGGCAGATGATCACGCTCAGAGTGCAAGGCCCTCCACTGGGCGTAAAGCACCACCTTGGACGCAGATGCAACAGAGGCTTCAAGCACCCCGCACACTGCGGCCTGTGACCTGTGCGAGTCTGCATCTTTTTCAGAGCGCAGCAGCACCCAACCAATCTTTCACAGAAAGAGTGAAAGACGGACGGCGCAGTTGTCTCGTGCATGGAAAAAGCGAAAAACTGCAAAGCACATGCAAAGGTCCATTAACTGCAAAGGCAGCCTCACCAAAGTTGCCAGTCATACTGCCGAGACTTGGCGTCTATCGACAGACAACTACTTCAGGTGAGGTACCAGGGAGGCTCTGTGCAATTAGCTTTGGCTAACGCTACTTTTTGCTACCGACTGCAGGTGAACCTGCATCAGCTGAAGCTTCGTTCTTCAGCTTTTCTTTCCTGGGACGTCAGGATTCCGAAGCATCAGTGGGGGAAGGATTCGACATTCTGGCTACAATCCGAATGTGACTACTCTGGCCAGAGCGGCTACGCGCTGCGATGGTACAAGCAGTTTGTGGCTCTGGCAAGTCTCACGACTTATGGGCTGGCCTGGTTTGTCAAACCTATATGAAAGGGATGTAAGCACACGGGATATGCATGCTCGAATCGAAACGATGATGACTTACCAGAAAGTCCGCTCCTCGGCCATCTGAATATGTCATTCTTCTGGCTATCGTGGTCGTCGCGACGGCTGTGCCAGTAGATATCAGTGGGTGGCTTCGTCCTAGCTCTGTCAACTGCGCAGGTGCTGAGTGGAACGATTCCTGCCAATACCTAGACGACAGTGAACCATTAGAGTCTGATCGCCACGGTGTCGGGATAGTCCTGCTGGCCTGATATCCATATCCCATAGTTTGGTTCTACAATGTATGGCATTGCCAAGCCTCCTGCATACTGCCGATACCAGACTTCCCGCTCCTACTTCTACGCGACACCGCATGGAAGACGCGACTGAATCCACAAACCTTACAATCCATTCACGAACTTCCAAAGCACATGCTCGCAGGCATTATGGGCATGTTGGTCTGTTTAGGGCCTTAAGGTGCCAGACCTCGGCTTGAGTTTAGAGCTTCTCAACCGTTGCCGCGTCCAAAAACTCATTCGGGGACTTTGGCATGGGTTTGGGATCAGGGGCATCCCAACATCACCTCATGCTACGTCTTGCCTTCAACCCATCAGGTGGCGCATTGACCAGTATACAGGAATTGCAAGTTATCTGGATTTTGAACTTGCTTTGGGCATTTTGGGGGTTCAGGGTTGGACCAGACGTTGAGCAGTTCCATTCTTCTAAGAAAAAGCTCAACGTGTCGCGTGTTCCTGGAATGAAAACATAGGCCGAGATGCTCGGCCTGTGTCAGCAGCTTGCCTTTCTGCGCGACCTCCTCGAAGCCAGGTAGCAGCTTTGCTGGAGGAAGAGACAAAACTACCAGAACGAGTGCAGCTTTTCTACAGTTTTTTGCTTTCCCTCGGATCGGTTTGTCGTTGCTCACCAGTCCTTTCTCTCGGAGAAACGGTCGTTAAGTGCATCCGCGTGCTCGCGCATGATAAGGGTAAACCTTAGCTCTGTGGCACGTCACTTCTGCGGGAAGCACTGAAATTCTGTAGTGAGCTGTAGTGAGTTCAGCGTGTCACCAGCTACCGCAAGGATGATGCCCAGCAACTTATAAAACTCTTCCATGACGTCGACAACGCGATCGCGAAAGCTGGAGTCCTTCATCCTTCCATCGTCATCGAATTCTTGCCAGGCCTCCAAGCGGCACTGGACTTTCTGCCTACTCTCTACCCTCTTCTCTCCTGATCGAACCACCGCTATAGAACGATCTGCCTCTCCCATGCGCTCCGGTACTCTTTTGTGGTGTAAGAGCCGGGACCTCCGGCCTTCTGATGCAACGTTTGAGCCGGGCTGACCTAAGTCTAAGCCTCGATTTTGCAAAGTCAGTGTGTCCCCTGTAGTATGCAAAACGATCAGGATCAGGGCTTGCGCCATGCACTGCAGCATGAAGCCGTTGCTTTGTGTAAGCAGCTTGCTCAGCAAAGGCAGTGCGCAGGATATGCTACAACGATGGATTCCGCCGGGATCATCCACGAAGGTTGGAACAGGACAACGACCTTTGGCCTGGTGCTTGTGCAGGGAGGACACGCACAAGTCGATGAGTGTACCATGTCTTTTGTGTAACAGAGCTTTGTGCGAAAGACCACATTGTGCAGCGGAAATCTGAGTCGCCTATGCATTCTTTCCATGGGCTTGGGTGCAAAAATTGTTCTGTGCATTGCAAGTTGGGCATGATGGTAAATCGTTATCAGCAAATCGTGTGTCAGTTACGGGGTTCGAGCCCGTGGTATCAACTGAGTTTTGATTTTCACAATGACAAACCCTTGGCGCCGTTCTGAAGAAAATGGCCTGCCTTGGGAACAGAGGACTGGTTCGTGCAGCACGGCATTCGCATCCACCGTGCGAGTCGTCTCAACTCATTAACGGCATTGAAGCTCCTTGGATCTGCAGGGGGAAGTGCGAAGCTGCGATGTGCGGTTCGCTGTCCTACTACCTCCAAGAAACCGCGGCACGTTTCATAATTCTGCTGAGAGGCTGGCTGCCTCCATTGACTTGCAGCACCACGCAGGTTCGCCCCTAGCGCAGGTGGCGGAATACCACGCATGGCTCGCTTGCACCGTATGGACCATACAAGCTGTGAACGTCACAGGACCAAACTATCCTGCACTTTGTGCATCTTTCCTGCGAGTCTTCCTCCTCCCCCTACCCTCCGAACAGGTATGAAGGAGCCTCTTGAAGGTGCGTGTGCATCCTGGATAAAGAACTCCCGGCCAAGACCCCAGTTCCCCCCAGACCCATGTTCTGCCTGCGTCGGGCGCACAGAGCCGGTGTTCAGTGGCAGCCAATCGATCTGGTTCTTGAAGGCCCCAGTAATGCATCCATGCATCTCAGGGCTTGACCACACGTGGCCCTCGGACCACTTTGACAGGTTCCGCAACTCCTGGACTTTGGGGTGGTCCTCCAATGCCGGGTCCCTCACCTCAGCCGAATCATCTGTTTTCCTAGCACTATCAACAACACATTGTCACGTAGACCACCCAACATCAACATCTTGCCGGAGTCTGGCAGGGGCACCGGGAGGCCCATCGGATTGAATGTCCGCACCTCTGCTCCGAGAACCTCAGCTGCGTAAGACTCCCGGCGAAAGCAGAATGCCAGCAACTGTAACAGTGTCGCGGAATCGCCCCTAAGCCGACTGAATCGCCGACGGAGTCCTCCGCGGACCTCGGACCGGAGGCGTTTAGACGTCAGGGAGCCTCCAGGAGTCGAGCGCACTCGTGGGCCATCTTGCCTCCCGGGCATCTTTGGTGATTTCTGGTCAGACTTCAGAATTCAGTCTGGGTTTTTTCACAGATCTGGCATGGCAATGGCTGTGGGGCTCAAAGCTGTGGGTATGTCTATGAAGTAGATTCACGAAGTGTGGCTGCTTCGTGTCTGGCAGGGCCAAGTCGCGTGAGAAGGAAGTCGGCCGAAGGGAGCCGTAGAGGACCAGGATCCTGCGGCACTTGCGCCCAGCACGCTCCTCACATCTGCTTCGGAACTCGGGAACTCCTGGGCCGATGTGTAAACCGGGCGCTTGGTACCTTAGGCCACTTCGGAGGAGGGGGCGTGCCGATTGGACAGAGCTACAGTACACTGCACTTGGTGGGAGCGAAGTCAACAGCGACACGCCCAACAGCTTGCAGCCTCAAGGAAACGTCACCGGCAACCCGAAAACCATCCAGTGGACTAAATAGTGCAGCACCAGGAACCTGGAACGCCGCAGAAGAAGCAATGTTGGCGCCTTGTGCACCGCTAGGGTCCGAGAAGACCTGAGGAACCGATCTTTATGGGCAAGAGCACGGTTTTGTGTCTCAATCGAGAGAACCGCGGCACACCCGGCTTGAATGTGCAATCTCTGTGCTTCTGCTTCCTTGAAGGACGAATAGCCCGGAGCAGCTGTTGTCAATCACAACCAAACCCTACAAGGAATCAGGAAGGAAAAAGGAAACAAAGCCGTCAACATGCCGTTGAAGAAGATCCGGGATCCGCAAAAACGCAGCAGGCCGACCTCCGTGATCCAGTCGTCTCCGGGACCACTTCCCGGAACGTCCTTCCTGAGATCCAAGGTATCACAGACACTACTTTGGATTTGGAGGTTCCTAGAGTTGGTAATTATCAATCCTACTTTGACAGAGAAGCCCTAAAGCGCTCAGACGGAAAATCCGACGAATCCCACGTCGAACACAGACACAATTGTTCTTGTTCTAACAGGTCCAGGGCTTCGTTGCCCGGTGCGCCAGCCAGCTGCCAGTGCCATCAGCCAGCGGCTCGATGTCATTAGCACCTCGACGGAACATGATAGGACCCACTGACCCATGTCGATGCCGCAATTTTCAGCCAGCCTTCTAAGGTGTACCGCGCTTCCTCCTCGGACGAAGTACCAGCCATGCCTCTGCGTTCCAGCTGAGGAACACCGGAGGGACTTGTGGCATCCAAACGGAGCCCAAACGGCGCTGCTATGAGACCAATCGGCTGGATGTGCGAAAGACGCTCGTCGTTACAGCTGCCCATGCAGGCGCCAATGTAGGGCTTAGACTCCGCAAAAGTTGCAGCTACAATGAGAGCGGTTTCAGCTTCTGGTGGGACATCCAGTTCCTTCAGGCAGGCGCTACTTTCCTGGCTCCAGTGCGGATGCATATTGCACCGATTTCTGCCTTCACTCAAGCCACATCTTCTGCTCAAACTTTGGGGCAGAGTTGGCAAACAACACCCTGTGCACAGGAAAAAGGAAAAAATCCCCAGCCACCCTGTCCAGAACGTTTCTGCACTACGAATGCAGCAGCAATCGTTCGGGACTTTGCAATTGTGATGACTTCTTGCACTAGTAAATGGTTCCGATATCCTTCAGGACAGGAAGCCAAGCTGAAGGAAACACCTCAGCACAGCTCGTTCGTTTCGACTTCTACTTCTTCTTGCCAGCTGCCGCTGCCGCAGCTTCAGCAGCAGCTTCATCTTTGAGCTTCTCCTTCCTGGGATTCTGTGAAGGGGCTGGTGTGGCGACAGCCTGTCGTAAGGCCCGCAGCTGCTAGAACGCTTGCTACAGCTTCTATACTATACCAACATCATTCGCGCGCATCGACGCACTGCCCTGGTCAACTGATCCGCTGTATTCCGCTGTGATTTCACACTCATGGCAAGGCAAAGCCAACTGCTATGGAGTTCCTGCAATGTTCGATCGAGGTGCTCAGCTTGCGTCAGCAGCCGACCTTTTTGCGCCACCTCCTTGACAAAGACGGAATGAAACACGAGGTTTCAGTGAGATCACGGCTTCAGGTGGAATGATGTTGATTGGGCTGCGGAGGATCTGAAGGCTTGAGAGGAACTACAGCATCCAGTCACCTAGCTAGCGAAGGTAACTTTGGGTGATTTTGGCTGTTTCTTTTCGCCATGACAGCGGTGATTTAGCTGACTTCGACCCCCAGTCCTTCCGCTCGGAGAAGCGATCCACAAGTGCGTCTGCGTGCTCACGCATGATGAGGGTGAACCTGGGACTTCTCCTAAACACGAGGACTACACGAAAGACACTTCCACACGAAGGCGTTAACATGAGCGGTGCCACATGGAGCCACAATGCCGCGGGGCATTTTCATACCGACCCCCACCAAGCAGTTTTGTGTTATTTTGGGGAGGGGTCAAACAGATACCTTCAGCCTCATAGGCCAGCTAAGACGACGAGCTCACAGTCGCTACAGTCGTCTGGTCCGAGAAGCTTGTAGTATTCCTCCATAACATCGACGACACGATCTCGAAAGTTGGAGTCCTTCATCCTTCCATCGTCATCGAATTCTTGCCATGCCTGTCGTCAGGGACTTGGTGGCTGTCCGCAAATGGGACCGCTGTGGAAAAATCAAGGAAGGGAGTCATTGTTGATGAGCCGGTTTTGTGAGCCAAGAGCCCCCATCGTATTTATTGCACGCCTGTGAAACCGGCAAACATTCGATCTGATGGAGAATGTCGCATCAAGATAGATGCACACTGTCAAAACAAGCAGTCTAAATCAATCGGTGCTGAAGGAAGCAGAAAAAACGAATGCAACAGAGATCACAGAGCTTTCGAGACTTCCAGGCCTTCGGAACAGAAGACTGATTGGTGCAGCACGGCATGCGCATCCACCTCGCCAGCCGTCTCAATTCATTGACAATGTTGAAGCTCCTCGGAATCACATGCGTAACGTTCAGATCTTGCATGTTAAGTAGTACGATGAACCAGTAGGACTCTTCGGCATCCCTACGAAGCAGCTTGACGAGTCGATGCATTCCCTGCTTGTCGAAGGCATGCAACCAGTTCTGGAAAGTGCAAAAAGTGTAGTTTCAGCAAGCGCACGAAACTTCTGAACACTTACGCAGCCAAGTGACTGGCTTCCGCCGTTGACCTGAAGCACCACGCAGGTTCGCCCCTGGCGGAGACACTTGCAGGAAGCGGTGAGCCAAAACTGGACCGTGATGGAACAACATGGGTGATGGCGGAGCAATGCGTGTGTGGCACTACCGGCACATGGATTCGCCCTCACATCCGCCTGCGTGGGTCGCACAGAGCCCGTGTTCAGCGGCAGCCAATCGATCTGATTCTTGAAGGCTCCGGTGACACAGCCGTGCATCTCAGGGCTGACCCAGACATGGCCCTCGGACCATCTGGACAGGTTCCGCAACTCCTGGACCTTTGGGTGGTCCTCCAGTGCCGGGTCCCGCACCTCAGTTACGAGACCAGGGCATGCGACACGGAATTCAAGGTCGCGAGGCTGACCATGAAAGTTCAAAAGAAACGTCGACTTTTTGGACCTGACGTCTGCAGCCGGCTTGCAGGCAGGCCTCTGGGGCAAAATGTCCGCACTTCTGCGCCCAGGACCTGCAAGCACTGCTGTCAAGGCTTGTGGCTCGTGGTCTTAGGAGCTCTGGCTCTGTCAATCCTGCTAGGGGGAACAATCACAAAGAGAGAGAGAGAGAGAGTGTGTGTGTGTGTGTACACTAGGGAAGGTGATACAGAAAGGGAGAGGTAGCATGAGAGAGGGCGAGAAGTGTGTACGTGGATAGGCATACATGCCAGTATATTATTTTCGGTAGCGATAGGTTTATACAGGCGAACACGTCTGCGCAGTTACATGTGGTTCAAGTGGACCTCAGCTGAGCACAAACCACGCGAAAAGACCCACCCCCCAACAGCGCGAACTATTCGGCCCCCATGCCTACACGTGCGCAATGTAGCTCCTCAAGCCCTAGCTCAAGACAGTACCGCCTCGAGGAGCCGCGCGCACTCATGCGCCAGCTTGCCTTTCATCCGGCAAATTGAGGGCCGTGGAGCGCTGGGATCTCAAGTTGGGCTACGACCAGATGTCCGATGAGTTCTTGACTTCAGCTTGGGCGACACAAGCTCCACCTGAAGAAGCCACAAAAGAATGTCGCCGGGCTGCGCGAGAAGGAAGTTGGCCGCAGGGAGCCGTAGAGGACCAAGATCCTGTGAGAGTGGTCTATCTCAGGCATTCGAGGAGGCCGAGTCATACCAGCTTGACAGTGCTTGTAAAGCAGGCGCAGACAGTGGCTCGGCCCTCCTCGGGGGATGAGTGAGCCGGGCGCTTGGCACCTCAGCTGCAGTACTGTGGAAGGTTCTGATATGACGTGTTCTTGGTAGTCAGAAAGCTTCTCTTCGACATCCCGAGCCTCGAAAGCTGCAGTGGCCGAGAGGTCCGCTCCTTGCTCACCGCTTGGATCTGAGAAAACCTGCCGGAAGCGCGAAGTGAGCACTTGGGATGGCTCTTCGAAATGCAGAGGCCTCGTTGATCCAGTCTGTGCCAGGGCCACTTCCCGGGGTGCTTGCCCTGAGTTCAGCTTCAAAAGCATGTCCAACATTGTGCTTCTATGCAGACTTGGGAGTTCACATCGGGACCCCCGGCCCCACTCTCTGTTGAGCCCCCCCCTCGCCAGCCGCACGCAAATGCCCCGCATGTCTGTTCGCGACGAGCGTCTCGGCTCGGTGCGCAAGCCATCCGCCAGTGCCATCTGCTAGCGCCTCAATGTCGTTGCCACCTCTCCACTGGCCGACGGCTTGGCACTAAACTGACCACATACCAGCACCGAGGGTCGCCGGAGTTCGACCATCCGAAGATTCAGTCAAGCGCCGAAGCGATACAGAACACCTACGCCTAAGCACCCAGACACACAACCCTGGGCCCCTGGGCCTTCCAAGTTGTACTTCGCCTCCTCCTCGGAAGAGCTGCCCAAGCCTTTCCTTCCAACACGGAGACCGCCCTACGCCCTATGCCACTTTCTCAGCTTGGGCGGATCCAGAAGGTGGGTCGTCCTGAAAGTCCGGCTGTGCACGCTGCGGAGGAAGATGCCCAAGGCTGGTACCCAAACCGACGGCCCTGCCAGCTTCGAAGAGCTTAGAGACTCCCATCTTCGGTGAAGTCTTTGCAGCCACGCAGCCGAAGTCCACTCGGCCCTTGCCAGGGCGCGGCCGCGGGGCTGCCGTGAGGATGCGACCCGATCTTACATATGAGCGGGACTGAATGGACGTTGATTCTCGCACTTCGCACTTCACAGGCCTCGGGGCGGTCAGAGACCTCAACACGGGTCTTGTCAGCTGGAGCATCGCAGGGACTGGGACTTCCGCCTTCCCTGCTTCGCCTGCAGATCGTCTAGCGGAAGGCTCTCTGGGATGTCGAGTCTTGCGGCTGTTGATGCCTACGCCTAGGGCCTAGACTTTGAGTCGGTGTCTGCATCTGACTGACCGTCGGAAGCGGCGACAATTGAGAAGCACTGAAACACAGCAGGCTACAAGTGTCCATGCGACCCGAACGCCCTCACCCACACCCACACACACACACACACGCAGACAGAGACAGAGTAATTTTGCTTTTGAGCTCACTCCCTGCTGTGCAGAGCGGACAAGACGGCCTCATCCTCCCCCTGATCTTGATGGATCCTGCAACTCTAGATACACCGAAACAGCCTGCAACCTTTCGGGGAGAAAGAGGTCGGTGGTTGAAATGATTAAGCCGCAGGACACCAGCCGCCTCTTCATCTGCTCTTCCCAAAAACGTAACGGTAATTAATAACCAAAATAACATAGAGGCATAGCTGACCGCCAGTGCCTGCGGCTCGTGAAAGCTAGACTATGGACCCTTGCATCCTTTCGCCTGGGGACGCAGGCGTGTGGTTTTGCCGAACATGTTTGGCCGGCAGGCTCTAAAAGGAGTGCAACAGAATCCTGGAAGCTGCTACCGCAATCTCCGGGAGCCTGCAACCTGCCTGCAGGTATTGCCCGGCCAAGTCCAGAATTTGCAAACCTTTATGGGGTTGCTCTCTACAGCTACCATGCAACTCTATGCTTCTAACCCCTTATCTAGGTTGCGTGCCGGGGCCTGCTGGCACATTGCGTTTGGACGCACGCGAGGAACTGGAGTCTTTGCAGGCAATCCTATCTATCAACCCCCTCCCTGCCCTTCGGCAACCTCGCAGACAGCTCTCTGGAAGTGCCTCGAACCCGCACGCTCTACCTGTCCAGTACCCTGCAGCGGACGGCGGCGCGCCCTGTGGACCCGAAGTGGCCTTGCCTGGAGCCCTCGTGGATTTTGGAGCTGTGCTTCGACTCGTAAGTCCTAAGTCCTAGGTTCATGGTACGGACTGCCGGGGCAAGGCTGAACTGGTCAAAGACGCGTCCCGGCCAAGAGAAGAGAGGAGTCCAAGGTCTTAAAATCTTAGAATCGACGTCTGTCCCGACTTCCTCTGTGCCCCTGGCCACTGGATGTCACCAATGCTCTGACTGCACATACATCCACTGACATTCCGGCGTCTGTTTGCAATGATGCCATCTGCGATCAAAGTTCTGACTTACGCTTGACTTCTGCGAAGACCGCTCTCGGTGCTTCTGTAAAGAGATTTCGGAAACTGCTTCACGTTGCAGTGAAATTCTCCATTGCAATCTCTTGCCGGATGGACAAGCAGACTCCCAACTGTGGTGACAGGTGACAAAGGGTAACGAAGATATAACCAGGCAATTGGCTGGCTCTGCGGCTCTGCGTCTCGAAGAGCCCATGCACGCTGCCACAGCACAGTTTGTTGAGGCTGCCTGGTTTCTTGGGCTCCTGCTCCTTGAAAGCGAAGCCTGGATGGGGCGCACGGCCCTGGCCCTCAAGTTCAAGTCATGGGATACCGGAGGCTTGCACACTTCGTGTCACCGCTTCTCAATGGAGCGGCTCAGAGATGATAGGCCTAGACGAGAACGCTTACACTTACATGGCTCGGGACCACATCTCCTAGCAAAACTCAAAGCCTGGCATTGAAATTACGGTCGCGGCACTCTTGGTTTCGATCACGCGTGACCGAAACGGTGCCAGGGGCTTGGACGAGGCTTCTTCTCCTCCGCAAGTCTAGCAGAAGGCAGTGTCTACTTGCTTCAGCAGAAACCGGAATTTTGGGCATAGTTTGGGGTATCTTTTTTGCCGTCGCTTCAGCGACGGCGTCGTTTGAGGTCCACGGGCACCAGCGCAGTGCTGCCAGAGGGAGGGTGAAACGCCTGGAAGCCGGTGAATCTTAGAAGGGACCGGTGACTACATGCTCTTGCTGGGAGCTTCACCATGGTCTTTCAGGCTTGTCGTTCTGAGCCGAACCATTGGTCTCAGCAGGATTCATCTCCTGATTCTCCTGCTCATACTGGAAAATGGACATTCAGCCGACTCGTACAGCTTGTGACATCACGATTTCTCGCTTGCTGAGAACGACGGTTCGAGTCCATGGCGTGACAAGTAGGTGCGCAGAGAATCACTCCGCCTGCGCTGCCTGCAGGAACACAGACCACGGCGCTTTGGCAGTAAGGAGAAGCTCGGATGGACTGCTACCTTGTCTACGGAAGCATATGTGAAAGCAGAACAACAGGTATGCTCTTTGACGCCCACGGACTTCTGCAAAGCACACGGGGATTGGAGAAGAGATCCCCCATGTCCTGAAGCCGAGGCCTGTGCCGGACTACGGCCTGGCAGCAGCACCTCGGGATGAGATCTCCGCGAATGTCAGCAAGGAGGATCGAAACGACAGGCCCAGGTACGCTTGCCAAGCTCAGGCCAGGGCAGGCGATGGTGAGGACATGTCACTCTCTCCTGCAGAACAGCCCCTCAAGGTAGCCATGATCTTCATGCCACTTTTGCAGAGATTTCTGCCCCACCTCCTGCGTCGGTCCCGGAGCAGCTGTTACTCTTCCGGAGAGCCTACGGCGGTTGAATCCGCTGAAGGGCTTTGACCACGGTGGCACCATGTATTCCGAGCTTGCTGGTCTCATGATAAACTGCCACTACGCCAACGCAACAAAACACACTCGGGCCCTGCACTCTTTGCACTTAAGGCCTCCCACGTGTTCGGAAGGGAAATACGGGGAAGGCGACCTTGCAAAGCGTTCGCAGGCATAGCACGACCTTTCGATGCTGGGGCAGACTGCAGTGAAGTACCTGTGGTGTGCGCAATTTTGCGGCCTCAGCTTTATTGCCGCACACCGATTGAGGACGAGTCCGTTTACTGGAAGACGTCGAGCGACTCGGATCTCACCTTGCTCCTGCATGATGCGAGCTTGGCCCTAGCAATGCCCGAGCCTGTTGTGTGTCTTGCTGCAGCTGCAGGCTTGCAGCACAAGCAGCCTCACCATAAATGTGAGCACTGTAGAAAAAGGTCGGCCGAAGTTTGACGATCCGAGCTCACTGCTTCTACCTCGAGCCGGTCTCCGGCATTTCAACTCGTGGTCCTCTGCTTCGGTGAGGGGTACGACGGAACCCGAGATGCTGGCCTGGGTGCTGAGCTCCCCCGGGCTGAACCCTGCCTAAACTCACACTGCTTGCCCTCATATGAGCTGCAGGCTCGAAGACTTCGAAGAAGCCTTCGCAGGCAGCTGCGAGGCATCACCCAGAGGTCCGGATTAAGACCCATTGATAGCAGAACGACGAAGGTTATGATTCTTGACAAGTAACTAATTATGGTCGTGTTGGTGGTCATGCTGTACGTCTTTCAACAAATCAACCCCTCCAGTTACATCTGTCTGGACAAACCACCTCTACGCGCCTCATCAGCACTACCGATTTAGCGTCTATTCCTGAGCGCCGTTAGCACGCCCATCTAAGTCTATCTGATAGAGTACTCGTAGTGCTCACATTCCGCATACTGCTCGTCTCTTGCAGCTACCACTCGGGCGTCTTAATGATGAGTCTTAATGCTGATTCCCAGCTTCCCCCAAGACCTAACCGACCTAACCACCCCACCGGGTCACCACTCCCCATCATGTACCGGGCCCGCCTGGCCGGACTACCTGCAGCGGTGCGCTGTGCAACCTGGCTGTTCAAGGTCGGGGCTCTCTCCCCGGATACGAAGGGTCAAGCTTTTAACTTCGCCCTGGCCGGTCTCATGGCTGCTAACCGTTCGAAGATCCTTGCAATGAGGATCCTACTCAGAGTCGATCGTGGGAGTCTGTACGGCTCCCTCCTGCCCATGCTCTACCGCGCCTCCCCTCTTGGGGTCCGCTCAGCCGGCAGCGGTCGGAAGCCTGTGAAGGCCTTCCCCGGACACAAGAGAACGTGAAAGTCAACTCAGATTTGCGAAAGACTTACTGCTGGTGCAGTACGGGCAAAACTAGAGAAAACCCGGCAAAGTCGCTACCTCACTGACGTGGTATGGTAAATCCGCACGCAGAAGTGGGACATGTCTGCCTGTCTTATCACAGGAACATCGAAACTGATACATTTTCACATTGCCTTCTTCGTCTCGGAGCCATCCACTGTCCGAGGCCGCCGGCGCCGAGGCGCGGGTTCAGAACTCCGCCTTTTTAGCAGATTTCGAGTATCATGGGCTATTTAATGGGTATATAATAGCTACATTAAGGGTATATACCTAGGGGTCGGCTCGGGGTTTAGGTCAGCTGGTGCTCCTGCAGTTACGACCCTGTCCGACATGTGCAAGCGGCCTGGCCGGCGCTGACGGCGCAGTCAAGGGTGGCGGCCTCGCCAGCACAAGGATATCTCTCTTAGTCTTCCCGCCTACCAGGCGCAAAGCGATTGAAAAGTAAAAGGATCATATCCTGAGCGGTCCAAGAAGCTTTGCAAGTGATCCATTTCATGGAATAAGCAGTGCTACGACAGAGTCAAAAACAGTAGGAAGCACCGAAGCCGTTGAGCCCCACAGGCTGTTCCCATCGTGAAGCCTCTATCCTGAACCAGAAATGTGCATCCCGTGACGGCCACGACCTGAGCACCAGCGGCGTTGGAAGGGAAGAGACCAGCACCTCCATACAAAGCTGGCACGTGCACCCTCGTGAGAATCGTAGCAGCGTGACATAATTTAAAGGCACTGCAAGGCCTAGTTGACTATCGAAGCCTCGAAGCCTCGACCTCTCCGGCTCTTGGCCGCTGTTCTCTGTTTTCGCCTCATCAGGAAGTGCGCCCCTTGGCCGTGGCCGCTTTGTCGGCCGACGGGCCTGGCACGTGGAGGACTTTTAGGGCGTGCAGGCTTTCCAGAAAACCAGCATCGCTGCGGTGGGGCGAGGGTTGAGTGACAAAGGCGACGACAACCAAGGGCGCGATGCGAAAGAGCAACCAGCAGCTAGTGGCACAGTCGGGAACCCTGAACACTCAGCCTGAGCAAGTTGTGTGGGGGCCCCTCTACAGAACGGCCACAGGGCCTGGATGTCCACGGCCGAGGCATCGTTGTCCATGGCCTGACTTCGGTATGCTGAAGCCCAGAAACCACTCCGATCCCGGTAAGCCCGCACAGCTGCAACAATCCTGAAGCTTGCCAGCAGTAGGTATAGTATCGGTACATTTCCGTTGCCCTCCATAGATCTCCCTCAACTGCCGAATACAGGCTCTGGCTTGCGGTTTCCCACCAGTAACTGGAGCAAGGCTTCGTGGCGCCTCAAGGCGAGCGAGCTGCAACTGCCCAGCCTGCTGCGGTGATGACATGCCATGGCATGTTCCAGGGATCGAGGGTTCATCACTTTGCTGACTGAATAATTTGGCGTGGTGCCAAAGCAAGTCTCTCCTTGCAAGCGCTGGCATCCCAACTCCGCGCTGTCCTTCAGCAAGCGGTCAAAGTCCTCCTCGGAAATCTCGTAGACCTCATCTTCCACCTGCAGGCTGTTGAAGCGAGAGTCACGAAAGACCGCCACTGGTTTGTTTCTACGAATGTATGTATGCATGTATCTATGTGTGCTTGTAGGGCCCGAGAACATCCCAGCAGCGGGAATAGCTCGTGTGGCCCCAGCACTCGTGTGCGGGCTAGATTCGTCTGGCCTCTTAGCTCTTGAGCCACGGCCAAGGGCAGATCTCCCGCCTGGCACCGCAGGCGACGACACCGCCGCTCTATTGCACGAGCGAGCATCAGGAAGGGCCGTCGGCCATCTTCCCTACAAGCTGCACTACTTTTCGGGCACCACGCGACGTGCCCTGGCCTTCGACAACGTCTTCGTTCACTCATGGGCCGCCGACCTCCTCAGGAAAAAGGATGGTACCCAGACAATTCGCAGCGTGGCTGGGAGTTGTGGCGTGGATCCTACTCGCCGCAACAGCGCAGAGGCCACCGTGGCAAGGCAGATGGCAAAGGCAAGGAGAAGAACCGCGACAAGTTCCCCCGGTACGACTCCAGGAGGGCAGATCCGGATCACGGTGCATTTTCGGACCCCTCAGAGGCAGCGACGGCTACACGGGGAGATGTAGTGGGGGTTTTGCAGACCCACTTGAACAATGCGAGAAAGGCCGAAGCCAGAGTCCTTGGCCTGGAGAAAGCGCAGAAGCAACGCCATGCTCAATGGGTTGCTTACGAAGCGGACCTGCAACGGTCATACCAGCAAGAGAAGGACCGCTACGCGAAGGCCATGTCCAAGTTGGAGACCGATTTACAGGAAGCTGTGCGAGAAAAGGACCGCACACAGAATATCCTCCAGGGAGCTTATGTTGCTTCGCAGAGTCTCGGCCGCAACACCACGGAGGAGTTGAGGGACGACCCGGATTGGACCAGACTTACTGGTGGCTCTGGACCGGACCGAACCCTGGAGACGGATGCAGATGCCCTCCGCAGGCTGTTGCAGACGCCTCCGACAGCGGGCCCGGTTCATGGGCTTGGTTCCACAGGACCGCCACCGGGCCTAGCGCGACCTCCAGGAGAGCATGGGCCAACGGCATCTGCAGGACACCAGAGACCCCCCGAACCTGCAGATCGCACCAAGAAAGGCTCTGTCTATTCAGACAACCTTCCCCCGGATCCATTTGCCACATCTCCCAGTACCTCAACCTTAAAGGTGCCTTTGACTACGACATCGCCAAGCACGCGACCCAAACCGAATACCCCTCGGACTTCTGTCAAGGCTCACACCCCGCCACAGCTCGAGAGAGTCCACTCCTCGCTGGAAACCAAGCTGGAAGAGAAGCGGGCAGCCATGATAGCGGCGGGTTTGGGTCCCACTACGACACCCGAGCCGGGGGAGGCTCCCCGCAAAAGTGTCATTGTGGAGGACGACGACGAAGAGGAGCTCAACAATCTCGGAGATGTCGACGTCTCGCAGATGGACACCTGACTGGTAGGATGGTGTCTCGGGAACTCAGTCTTCTCAGTCTGGAGAGTATTCCGCTTGGGAGGCCATCTTGGCATGCGACAACTTGGGAGTTGTCACATTGCCTCGCGCTCCTCCTCGGTGAAGAATTCTTTTCAGATTGCGGGGACCTGAAAGACCTGCGACACCATCGTTTTCACATAGCTCTTTTTGTACAGCCCTCCGGCTTTTTGAGCTTTGGGATCTTAATGTCCACAACCCGGGGTAATCCAGAGACGTCAGGCCATGTTCCCCGATGGACTAGGGGCTTTCTGACCTGTTCGCCTCCGTCTTCCTCCGCTAGTGTCTGCAGCCACTTGTCTTGGTGGGTGTCAGGCCTAGCCCTGCCTTCCTCTGGGAGTTTCTTGCCCCAGAGTGCATTCTGCATCGACCCAGGTGGTTCTCTTGTTTTCCTTGTGAGAGCGCTAAATAGTGGCATCGGTAGCTCAGGGGCCACAGCCTCGCGAGGGATCAGGCAGACCACGCCGGGGCGACGGGTTCTTCGCATTGGAGCCCAATGCCATCACCGGGATTCCGATATTCGGTGTTCCCCCTTTTCCAGTCCTCCTTCTCTCACAAGGGGACATGATTGCGTTGATATCTTTTGGGGAGGTTTTGCAGAGAGTTTTGGTTGCCACTTTCCTTTCTTGAGGAGCGCTCAGACCCACCTCTCGGGGATGCCTTTGGCTACCAACTCTGACCCCGAAGTGAGCCATGCAATCAACGACTACCTTGGTCTTTGGGCACCAAAGAGGCGTATCGGTGGTTCTGGGACGCCCGCCAAAGTCCAGGTAGTCCGGCCCCCTCGCCCTAAGTCCTTGCGGTTTAGTCCCACCCGTAAGGACCCTAAGGACACACAACTGATTGGGGACCTAGGCTCCGACGTCTGCCTATATGTCCTGCTTCTGCTTGGGGACCTTTTAGTCCCTGTTGGAAGATCCATCTTCTTGATGTTCTTCCTAGTTGTGTGCCATGCTTTCTGGAGACAGACCCCGCACCGCCAAGAGCCTCTGGGATGGCTTCTCGGCCTACCCTACCAAGGAGCCCCCTGTCGGGCCCTCTTGTGTCTGTCCAGCATTTCACCTTCCCAACATTGCCTTGTGACTGGCCGAGAGAGCGGCCTCGCCAGCGCAAAACACCGATACCGTCAACGACAACGGTACCCTACCTCTGTCGGCGGCCTTGTTGCCTGGCTTTTGCTTGCACTTCAGTGTCCGAGCTGTGTCTGGGCTGCACCTCCTGGGGTGCCTGAGTTGCACGCAGCAGCTGAGCAGGTTCTAACGACCAGGGACACTGCCACTGATCCTGACATAGACCTGGGACCGGACAGCCTTACCATAGCATTAGGGGAAGGGTCAGGACAGGATTCGCACATGACGCCCCATGATCCTAGTCAAGGTGTTGCAGGGGAAGCCACCATGCATAGTGTGGATGAACCCACTGGGTCCGTGGTTGCCCAGGTTGTACTTCCCCCCGAAAACACCACCCTTCATTGCTTGCTGTTTGCACACGGCTATAGGACAGAGCACCTTATCTTTGACGAGGCCAGAGGATCATCAGCGGCTGAACTCCTGCAACGAGCCAGATCAGACTCTCGACTTCTCTACAGGCTCGCCCCGGCAGAACTGGTCCCGGCCCTGCCACAACCTGGAGACGGCTATGTCAGCCTTCTTACGGTTCCCCAGTGGACCGCAGCAGCGGGACTCCGTGTCGTGCTTTTTGACCTCTCTCACCTTGGTGGTCCGACGTATGCCGCCACTGTCGATGAGAATCTGTCTTTCAGTGAGATAGAGAGAGAAGTCCTTCGTCACACGACACAACTCTGGCATGCCTTTCCACCCAACTACCTAACCCCGCTTGCCAGGAATGATGTTTATCGTCCGACCTCCGGCGACGTCATTTGCATTGTTGAGCACGATGCCTTTCTTCGACGAGGGACCCCATTCCCTGTCCTCGTCGACCGACCAGATTTATGGCACCGGGAGCCCCAGGTCCATCTCGAAAGGCCGACCACGGCATGGCTGGTTGTCAAGCCAGGTAGTGTGCAGGCCTTTCAGCATTACGGAGACTTTGATGAGCCTCTCCGTCAAGCCATTGCAGACCATATGCAGAGGGAACGGCACCAAGTCTGCTTCGGACTTCCCTCCGACACTTTGGACGACATCGTCCAATATGGACGCCTATACAGCAAGGTAGCTGCTGTGGACTTCCGATCAGATAGCCTGCCCCCCGGCCCGAATCTAGGGCACTTTATACTAATCGATGGTCGTCAGGCTGCCCGGGGTCTAGACTTCATCTTCACAGGCGAGGGATTCCTGGACACGCAAGACGCTGTCCGCCGGCTAGGCCTTCGCCCGCCAAGGGGCTACAGGACTTACGCCGAACACCCGCTACTTGAAAGACTCGGCCTACCCATTGCAGAAGGTAGGGTACTGACTTTGGGATATGAACGTGTTGAGGTCGATGCCACACCTGAGGCCGCCTGTGAACCTCAGTATCTAGATGGTCGCAGCCTCAGTAGGCCCTGCCCTACTCCCACCATAGACCCGGACACGATCACAAATGCTCGGGTTGGGTTTCTCGTCCTGACCCCTAGAGTAGCGCCTGCTACATTCGAGGTCTCTTTGTCATTGCCTTGTTCTGCGCAGGCTGCATGCGATGCGCTCAAGATCGCCAGACAAAGCAGACAGGCTGTCATATACGACCACCTTGTTGTGACACAACCACAGCCAGACCCAGCATTTTGCACTTTTATAGCAATTCCACTATGGGCCAAATATCGCCCATGCATCGTCGTTGATGCACGTGGCGTCGACGGACGTCTCTTCGCCCTTGAAGTGGAATCGGGGCTGCGGCCCCGTTCTCTTTTGGTGCAAGCCAGCTTTAAACCAACTCTTGGCTTTCAGATCGCGCATAATGGTCACATCCATGGTGAAGAAGAGGCTGTCTTTGTGTCGAAAGGAGATGTGCTATTCATTCTCCCTCCCCGCAGTGCTGTGCCTGCGATGCATTTCCTCCCTGACATGCTCCAGGACCCAGATGGATGGCAGCTGCCAGTCCCCAAGCCTGCAGGCCATCTTGCCCGGCCTGCCTACCTACTCACCGATGCGTGGAACACCATTGTCGATCTTCCTCAAGCTGCAACCCGTTCCTTACCAGAGCTGAGAACCTTTGTCTCAGCTTTTCTGCGAAGTGAGTGTTACCGGCTTCATCTGCAGATCTTGAAACCCCCGGTTGAGGACTACGCTTTCCAGGGCATTCACTGCAGACAACTCTTCATTGCCACTGAGCAGCATCAAATCCTGCCAGCTCCCCCGGCTCGCCACTCCTTCACTGATGTTCCATACGCACTTGACTTGCGAGGGCTTTTCAGGGACTTTCAGTGGAGGTTCGCTACCAATGGGCGCATTGATCTCGATAGCCTTGTGAAGGAGTTCAGCCCAGCCCCCTCAGGATTCTTCGTAGAGATTGAAGGAGCATGCCCAGTTCGGGACGGAGACTCTGCTTACTTCACTGTCCGACCAGGACAAGTCATCTCCGTT